TTTGTTATGTATATTTTTTATTTTTTATCTTAAATCACGAGGTAGAACAATGAAATATTACCAATACAAAAACATACTTTCTGCATATTTTTTATTTCTTTTTTAATGGAGAAGGATGAATTAGACTCACCCGGTCATTTTTCTAAACTAAATTTATGAAAAAACTTAAGCAATGAAATAAAAAATATATTTTTTTTCTTGTCGCCTTCAGTTTTTTTTAATTAAAAAATTGTTAATTGTCCAGGATTGGTATCAGTAACACTGGAAAACCTGCAAATGTGGCGAATTTTTTCTTTATCTGGTCATATACAGCGATATGAATACGTAATTGGAATTATATTTTTAACTATTTTATCATCTCGAATCAATTAAGGATAAAAAATCGTTGTTTTTTTTTTTGAAACTTTCGTTATTTCCGATTAAATAACCGGCGGGTCACGCGTCGCTTAATACTATCCCAATTTTCTCCGGTGTGCAATTAACAACGGACTTTTGCGTTTTGTCCGATTTGCTTGCGCTGGTAATCGTTTTTCTTCGCGGATAAACATCTGTCGACGTCCGAGAAACATCTACATGGTACGCACCCACCATATGTGGCGACGTAAAAAACTCTGGTATAACTCGCCATCAGTGTAACGGGGCCTTTTATAAGTAACGTGAGACAATTCACCACGTCACTGATTACTTATTGCTTTCTGCATCCGTTAGTTTTCAGTGTGACGTATCCGATTACATCTTCTTCCTCTTTTCTTTGTGCAACACTTAATACTTTTAACCTCGCTCGGTTAGGGCGGTTTTCCACGAGGACGACTTCTTTTGCTGGTAAAAAATGAAGGAAGTCGAAGCCAGACGCATTTTGCTGCGACGTTAACGTTGATACCCAATTTGAAGGTTTTTAAACTATTTGGCGTTTCGACAAGACTTCCGCAGGTTGTGAAAGTTGTAGATTTTGACTCAATGTCGTTGAGATTCCAACAAATATTTCAACGTTAGTTTTGATCAACGGCAGGAAGAAGGTCATAGGATATCTGACAAAACGTTAATGTCTACAAAACTATATTAAATTTAACTTAAACTTTTCAATAATAATAATTTCTAGGATTAAAGCGCTTTCGCTAATTCTGAACTTAATTTAGGGAATACATGAAATTCGTCAAAATTTTCTCTCGTAGTAATCGGAGAAAAAAATTAAGCTTGAAATTTGCATTATTTTTTTACAGTCTGCACTTAAATATTCTTTATACGGGGTTTCGTTTCCAGGAAACCATCATCGACTTGGATCTTCTTCTTCAGCTGCCTATCCACTACTATTGGATGTTGGCGATCACATTTCCGTATGCTACCCTGTCCATTGCTGTATGTACAAGGTCCCCGATATTTTTCAAGCCAGTCCATTCCCTCAGGTTTCTAAGCCATGACATTTGTTTCCTTCCTACGCCACGCTTGCCCTCTATCTTACCCTCGACGATTAGCTGGAGAAGCCGATATTTTGGGTTCCTCATTATGTGTCCGAAATAGGCCGTTTTTCGTTTTTTTATGTGTAATAGAATTTCTCTGTCTCTGCCCATTTTTCTCAAAATTTCCTCGTTTGTAACCCTTTCGACCCATGATACTCTCAGCATACGGCGGTAAGTCCACATCTCAAACGCTTCTAATCTATTAATTGATGTTGTTTTGAGCGTCCATGTTTCCATACCATATAATAGAACGGACCATATATAGCACTCGACGTATCGTCCTCTTAGGTTCAGGCTTGTGTCTCTGTTGGTAAGTATATGTTTAAATTTGAGAAAATAGCTCCGGGCTATTTCTATTCTGGCTTTGATTTCTTTGTCGTTCTCCCAATCTTCATACAGCCAACTACCCAAGTATCTATATTTCTTGACTCGTTCCAAAGCCATTCCATCGACGACGAGTTGCGCATTCACATAAGGCACCCTGTCCCTACTGATTATCATAAACTTTGTTTTATTACTATTTATGTTTAGTCCATAGTTTTTACTGGCGTCGTTTAGTAGAGTAATCAGTTGTTGTAAGTCTTGGATATTATCCGCTATCAAGACAGAATCATCCGCGTACCTAATGTTATTCACATATACTCCATTTACTTTGATTCCGATGTCCTTATCTTCGAATGCTTCGCCAAAAATGGCTTCTGAGTACACGTTAAACAAAAGTGGGGACATGATGCATCCTTGTCTCACTCCTCTACGTATTTCTATATCTTGTGTTTTCAGTTCGTTTGTTGTTATATGTGCAGTTTGATGCCAATATAGATTTTGAATGCAGCGAACATCTTTACCATCCACATCCATTTTTTGTAATATCTCGATTAGTTTTGTGTGCTGCACTCGACTTGGATACACATCCAGATTCCGTTAAATTGAATTATCTCATAAAAATGCCGTATTTCTTTTACAATTAAAATTGTTTACACAATATTTCTTAATTTAGTAATTGAAATTATGCCCTTAAGTAAGTAATTCAAATTGCAAATACCAATTTATCGATTTATGTCATTACCTCTTCTTATAATTTAGAAAAAACATTGCAAGATATGGATAGATAAGTTTTTCTGCTTTACAAGATAGTTAGTTGGTTTGTAACAGTTAGCAATTTAATTGTTTAAATACGTCCGTGTTTTATTTATAATCATTTGCAAAACAACAACGCGACTGTCGGGTGAATAAAATAAAAACGGAAAACAAAATGAAGGTCTATATTTAACAAATCGAAACATAATTAAGCTTTCATTTTATTTTCCTAATAATCCACTTATTTCTGAATGAATATTTTCCGAAATTGCTTAAAACAAGAACTTAAAAATAAATAACATTTCTTTCTTTGTTCGTCGATATCATTCATTAAATTTTTATCGTCCTCAGGTACAAAAAAAGCCATAAATATCTTTTTTTTACCATTTTTCCAAAAATGTCTTCTAATTTCGTAAACAAAGTTTTGAAATCATACTAATATTAAGATGTCGGACTTGCTCCACTTTTCATTTGTATTACGATTTTTTCATCGTCACACATTGTCACTTGTTTTGCTCTACAAGATGGCGGTATTAAATTTGAAAAGAAATGAGACGAGAAGGAATTTTTAACATGCTTTAGTTGTAAGAGCATATTTGTATTTTTTTAATATTTAGCATACATTTTTACTAAATTGCTTAAAAAATTATATCTTTTACTAAATTGTTAGCGTCGTGAAATACTTTCTGGTTACCAAATAATATAATGTATATCTTTTTTTCACCATTTTGCAAAAAATATTTTTGAAATCATGGTTACATTAAAATATTGGATTTCCTTGGATTAGATTCATTTTTATTACGATTTTATTTGAATTCTCGTTTATCTGCAGCCATCATCAATTTGGACCAGAGCAGAGAAAATCAAAACTGGAAAAAACGTCCATTAAATAAATAAAATGGAAGATGATGGTATCGTTTTGTAAAAATTAAAAATATAATAATAAGGCGGAAAAATCGAGCTATTTCTAGATGTTAAAGATGTCAGAATTAATTTGGACGATATTTATGAATCATCCCGTATTTCCGAAACTAAAATTAACAGCCCTATTTCTGGTGTTTAACTTAGATTGTTACTCAACGCTTAAAAGAAAAAGAAATTGAAAACAAATAACATACCTTTCATTGTTTGTCGATATCTTTCAGTCAATCTTTATCACTTTCCGGTTACAAAAAAAAAAACGTCGACATTCTTATTTGCGGCGTGTTTACTGTGCATAAATCCTATTTGCGGACCTAATTGTGAAACACCTATAAACGCTCATTCAGATTTTACTGGTTAATATACTTCGATCCACTCGAAGATGTTCGAGTTGACGGTGTATTAGTTGAAAAGCGTAAACATAGGTTTTCGCTCGTGTGAAGGTTGGGCGCGCCCCGCTTGCACGGAAGATCGTGCCTTATTTTTTTTTTTTTGAATAGATAACCTGAGAAAAGAAAACGAAACATTTTCTTTTTGATAGTTAAATTTCAATTGTATATTTTTTGTATGTATTCTGTGTAGTACCATTTATGTAAATTTGATTAACTATTTGATATATTATCTTGCTTTTGAACACAAACACAATTCAATCACAATTTTTCAAAATATGTGTTGATCATATTACTTAAATAGGAAGACGGATTCAGAAAATACCAGAAGAGAAAATGCAATGTTTATTTATTCAAAATAAAAGTCGTTGGAGAACATTTAGCCGGCAACGGTTATAAATTATTTTTTGTTAATGTAATCCAAGTAATTTACAAAAGTATAAAAATTGTAGATAGCTTCGTTTTCGTTGATCAGTCTTTGAAATATTCAAAGAAATTACAATGTGTATCTTTTATTATCTGTTGCAAATTGAGGTGAGGTGATATCAATAAATCACATAAACCCCAAGCGTTGATTAGTTAATGTAACTCTTTAAGTATACATATATTTTCAATAAATATTATTATTAACCTTTTATGTTTGTTACCTATCTATCATTTTTGAGCATCATAAAATATCGTTATATATACATTATATTTGTAATAGTCTGCATCTCTGTGATGTCAAAAAGTTGATCGATTTTTTTTTGGTATCTTTTCTTAATTCAGCCTATTTTCAGAATTTATAAATGTATTTATTTATTAATAACAGAAACGTAATTTCTTTTTTTATTTTGTTTAAAAACTATCTGGTACAGAAGGAAAGCGAAAACTGCGTTGGAAAAACCTGGACGGGCGTTTGGTGTAATCCAAAACCTATAGCGTCGTGCAAACTGTGTCCGGCCGTGAACTATATATTATCTGTTATTAGCAAAGGAGGAGCTCCACATGTGATAATAATAGCGCCACAGTGCCTTAATATAACTTACGACCGCATCGCGTTGGGCTCAGACTTGTGCATCGACGAAAATTTTTTCGAAAAATCACGGTAAATTAGAAAAAAAGCAGATCACGTGCGCTCGCTCGCTACCGCGTGGTTTGTGAACAACGTGCTAGAGATTTGTGCAGGTGCTTGGTGCGTGTGGTGACCGTTTTTGTGGCGCAAAATTCGACTTTCCGCGATTTTTTTTGAATACGAAGTTGTTGCTTTTTGCCTAGGTATAGGTTTATGTTGAAATGAAGCAATTCAAACGATTCCTATTCAATATATGTGTGTTGTACGTTCGAAATACCTCATACGAGATAACAAAAAAACTGAGGATTATGTGATAATTTGAAAAAAGCGTCGGAAACTTCCATTGTCGGGGGCTTTGCCCCCGACTCAAATCGCACGAAATTCCAAAACAAATTCTACCTTTACGGCGACCTTCACCTTTGCTTTGCAAAATAAACAACGGCGAATTTGACCTGGATTCTAAATATTTTTATCTAAAATTGCAATAAGACTTGCTTCTAGCTTAAGTAGAATAAAAAACATAATAATTGTCACAAATAAACTGCGTTCTTTCAATGGAGTAAAAAATTTTCGAAAAATTACTAATGATTTTTTTATTGTCAGCATTAAAAACCGAAATTTTACTGAGCCACGCTTTTTATCACTTGATCGCGTACGTGACTGCTCAGTTTACAAACGCAAGCGGATAAAGCAAATAAGCAGAATCGGTAAACTAGTTCTGTTTTTGTTTTTAATTCCGGTCGATTTAAAAATAGTTTCCGGCAATGTTTATGAGTTAATGGCAATCCTCGGGTCGCCTAAGACTTAGTATTTGCCCATCTGCTGCAGGTAGTAACGTTCCAAAAAGAAAAAAAATCATCCTTTTTTTTTCTAATAATTTGCAAAAAGGATGTTATGCTGAAAATATTACGTAGTTTACGTACCATTAAATATTTTAACAAAAATACCTTAAATTAGCTTTGTATAACGTGTACGTGACGTGAGATGTATTAATATACAGGGTGATTCAATATGAATAAATTTATAGATATGTATTTACCGAAACAGGACATAGGATTGATTGTTCTGAAAATATGTGGTTGATTAGGTTTTCGGACTTGTTCAGTCAACCCAAAATATTTTCAATAAAGCAAAAAAGCAAAACGCTCAAAAAAGCTCCCTGCAAAACATATTTCTTAGTTTAAATTTTCAAAAAGAATATAAATATACAGGGGGCCTTGATTCCGATTTCTTCAACAATCAATTTTGAGATGTTGTAGAAACACTTAATGAAGGGATTTTTAAAGGAATGGTTACTTTACTGCTTCGTGTAATTTTCAATTACGAAATATGCAACTTGTTATTTTTTCTGGTTTTGTCCCATTGTGCGACGTACCAAATAATATCACAGGCAAGTAAAAATGCGACAGGTAAAGCCTTGGAAATACGTAAATATTTAAGTTCTGAGTTTGAATTTATCGTCGAAAAGAATTGCTTAGTTTTAAAACAATGCTATCTAGTATATACCGCCATTAAACAAACTTCAATGACTTGCCTGTCGGGTGTAAATCAATTGCAAAATTGCGAACTAATTATAGTAAAGCATGTACGCCCCCACCCCCTTTGTAGATAAAGTTTCATTTCAACACCGTCGTGAAGCGAGCGTAAATATTTAAAAAACAAACCAAATGATGCAAAAGATTCAATAAAGCAGATATGGTTAATGTAATTACTACTTAGTGACACAAATATGCATATATAAAAAACTAAAAACCTTTTTTATAATAAAAAAATAGATTAAATAAAAATAATTATAATATGTTTTTAATTTTTATTTATATTTTCTAAATTAGTTGGAAAAGTAAGTACTTTATTAAAGATTCTTGTAATTTTAAATAACTTATGGACAAGGTTTAAATTCCCATACTATGTAGTTACAACGAATCAAAATGTAGGATTGAACGTACGGCACAGACTTGTCAGTAAAACAAAAACATTAAAAACATTTCAATAATAAGCGACATTTGACTAATCCTGTCACGAATTATCTTCTCTATTACGTTTATTTAGTACCACCCTGTATATTACTCCCATCTTTCTAACCCTCGTGGTTTTAAGCGTGCTCGAAAGTTTTTCCTCACTTTATTTGTCAGCAATATCAGCATTCTTTAATAATCATCGGGTTTGGAATGTGAAAGTGATCGGTTTCATTTTAAATGCCTTAAAGGAAAAAATCGCCGTGTCACTGATAAAAAGACAAACTTGATCTAGTTTAATATTTAAAAACGCATAACCGAATTATTTTCTAAAAAGAACGATTTAAATTTGTATCTACACCGATTGCGGAGCGAGCAAAAAAGGATAACAACAACGTTGCTGATTGAAAACCGGAAACTGGGCGCTTTGATGGCGCAAATTTATCACGCCTTTAACAACATATAGTTCTAGATTTATTATATGAAGGAAAACGACAAATTTCGAACAAAATTTCTCGTAACTTTAAGAAAAAAAAATACCGGCGATACATAACGGAAGAGTGACTCGCACGATCGACAATACAAAACAAATAAATCAAGAGTTTTTGGAAAAAATGTATTACGTTATTAATCGATTTCAATGCGCCGTCAATTGTACTTTTCGGAATGTCTTCTATAGGGTGTACCATGACTAATCGACTTTGAAATAATCAATTAAATAATAACTGAATTGAATATTTGTGTGTGTTTGCAATAAAATTTAACCGACAACTGTTTTCATGTTGCATTTTTTTTTTGAATTAATCAGTTTAAAATTTCTAAATAGCCAACACTAATCTCTTGTAAAGTGCCATGAAGAAATATGGACAGAAATAAGTCAAGAAAAACCGAGAGAAAAACAAAAAATGTTTAAGCAAATAAAATAAAACGTATAAAATATATATATTTTTAACTCCATGTAAAAATATAAGTAATATTTTTACAGAATTTCTTTAACCCTTGTTTGGAAACTCAGGTTCCCAGAGCCCTATATTTACATATAATAAAATAAAGAAGTTAATTAAACAGAAATTGCAGAAAATTAAACTGTTGATATTAAAGTTTCCACGAATTTTTGAATTCTTCAGGGTATCTTGGAAATTTGTGCGCTTCATCAACACTTATTTTGTTCTCATCGAACTGTAATTTTTGTTTTTTTTTTACTCATAAAAAGACTCTATTCGTACCCACTTTAGAGAAATTAAAAGTATTGAATTTTTCTACTAAAACTTTTTGAATCTGTGATTTAAAGGCAGCAGTTCAATTTTTCATTCGAATTTCTGTATAATTTTTGAGACACAGGATGTTCAAGTTTGGTAACTGTTTTCATTTTCTTTTATAATGTCATTTTCTGAGTGATTGCTGGTTTTAATTTACCTGAAAGCAAATTTTTTCTTGTTCTGAATTAAGCCGTTTAAAATTTCTAAATAGCCAAAACTAATTTCTCTATTTATTTATGAATCTCTCTTACAAGTGCAATAAAAATAATGATGGAAAGAAAAAAGTCCAGAAAACCCGAGAAAAACACAAACATAACGTTTAAGCAAATAAATTGAAATATATTATATATATATATATATATATATATATATATATATATATATATATATATATATATATATATATATATATATATATATATATATATATATATATATATATATATATATATATATATATATATATATATATATATATATATATATATATATATATATATATATATATATATATTCTCACGTATTGATTCACGGATGGAAAAAATGTGATGACACTATATTCCGGGATATCATCCGTTCGCTCGTTGAACTCCGACTGGAATCCTGCAAATCCTGCATCCGACTGGAATCCTGCAGACGTTTCGCCAAAATCTCACTTGGCATCTTGAATGCTCGCGCTCCCCAGTGTTCGAAGTGTTTTCGGAGCGCGAGCATTGAAGATGCCAAGTGAGATTTTGGCGAAACGTCTGCAGGATTCCAGTCGGAGTTCAACGAGCGAATGAATGATATCCCGGAATATAGTGTCATCATATATATATATATATATATATATATATATATATATATATATATATATATATATATATATATATATATATATATATATATATATATATATATATATATATATATATATATATATATATATATATATATATACCTCCAAAAAACTAAAACTCACGAAATAAGGAAGTTAATTAAACTATTGATATTAAAGTTTTCAAATATTTTTGAATTCCCGGGGTTATCTAGGAAATTACCAACGCTAAATTTTTTCTATCAATTTAGTTCAATAAATAAAAAAAAATAATTTTTGTAATTGTAAAAATTGTAATTTTTATTTTAACCTTTTTTACTCACAAAAAAAAATATGTTTTGCACTCACTATATGCGAATTAAAAGTAAGGAATTTTTAACAAAACCTTTTTAAAGCTATGATTTACAGGTAGCAGTTTCATTTTTCAATTTCTTATATTTCTATATGTAGTTTTAAGATCGTTTTTGTTAAAGTTTTAGTTTTATTTTTTTCTAAATAATATTTGACGTAATGCTGATATTTACAATTGTTCCTTGGAGGTCTCTAAAAAAAACTAACCAAAACTAAACTTGTAGGAGTGCGTGAATACATTCTTGGTACGTATTGTACATCATTTGGAATTTAAAAAATAAGTACATTCATCTCATTTTTACATGAAGGAAATGTCTAAATAGTCATGAGCAGCCGTCTCTAAGATGTTCTACTAAATTGAATAGTATAAAATTTAAAACATTAAATTATTACTTCCATTTAATTCATAAGCAGTGCAACTACTTTCCTAATGTTTTACGGAAAAATTGATTGAAAAAAAATATTTTTGTGCTTATAAATGTTATTCATATACATAGAAAAGTTAGAGATACTAAAATCTAATTCAATATCTCAAAAACGCAGGCCTTGAGGACCCATATTTATATGAGCTTTTTGTGTTAAAAATAACTATGGTATTGTTGATCAAAATTAAGCTGCATATTTAATTACCACCCAGAATTGAATGTCATTTATCGACCTATACAGGTCTTGAATTAGTACGTTTTATATAAGTGGTTGAAATTCATGAGTTATTATTGTTTTTCGGGTGGACCTGGCAACATTGTATTTATAAAAAAATTTAAAAAATGCAGATTATCACTTATAAACTTAGCTTTGGAAATGTTTCCTTTATTCGATCTTCTGAACTTATAAATGTATATCGTTACGCGTTTAGCACTATCAAACATAAAAATTCCACCTGACTCACTGAACATTTTCTAGTGTCTTATCATGAATGAGACATTTAAAAAATGTCCGCGTCGTATACAAAGGCGCATAAACGTGACAATAAGCTTCCACCTACCGGTAAAACAAACTTTAATTTTGTTAGTTTAACACAAAAATGGTCAGATTTTAACAGTTATTTAATGATTGATTTATGACAGCTGTTTAAATTACACAAATAGGATATGCCAATGAGGCACTTAGTTTCTAATTTAACAGCACCATCAGTTAAATTCTCAACAAGATTAATAAACATTTTAGAAAATCACATTACCTTTAAACCTAGATATGTTATCAAAAATTCGTTCTAACTAATTAACAAGGTTAAATATATTAAAATTCCTCCCAAGGCAATTCTAGTTTCATTTGACGTTCAAAATCTATTTCCTAGCATCCTACCAATTGACGTAATAAACATGGTAGACAATATTCTCACTCAGAGACAACTATATCATAAAATAAGACTTGCTAGATAGCTTAATAGCTTGTTTGAACCAAAATTACTTTGGACATTAGGTCAATTTTATATTGCTAAAGAAGGATTAATTATGGGAAACGCACTTTGTCCACTAGTTGCAGAAATTTTCATGGACAATTTAGAAAATTTCAATCATAAAAAGGATTTTTCTGGTGGTATTGATACGTAGGTAATGCTTTTGCTTGTTTCACTGGCACTGACAACTGCAGTCCTGAATCATATTAATATTAATCATATTATAAAACAAGTAGCTTTTAAAAGCAGTTTCAAATAACTCTGAACTCTATCCTATATTAAACACTGAAACCAAAAATTTATAAATCAATAAAATACATCGGAGAACTTACCAAGAAAATTTTGAAACATCTATGGAAACTTGGTCATAAGATTGTTTTTAAAACTAAAAGCACCATAGGAACTTTGTAAAAACCAATAAAACTAAATTAAGAAAAACTCAAAAAACCGGAGTGTACAACTTGATACGTGAATCATGTCCCAAAATTTATATCAGACAAACAGGTAGATCATTTAAGAAACGCAGTAGAGGACATAAAAGGGCGTATAAAAATAAAAGTTCGGATTCTAACCATGCACAAGTATGAAGATAATTTTGATATTTTACTTAATGAATCAAAAAGCGAAAAACTAAATTTATTGAAAGCCACTCTTAAATTTAAAGTTATAACCCTACACCAGCTATTAAAAAATCTATTACTACCTGTTTAGGTGTCGCAATGTTGTCACATTTTGTATTTGATAAAAGCACGGTGTTGCCGAAACAGTGGTCATAAATCATTAAATTACTGTGAAAGGCTGAACATTTCTGGTTCTAAATTGTGTTCAATTTTGGACGTCGATATAGATTGTTCGATAGATTTGCATATTATTTAACTTAAAAATCACGTTTCCTGCTAAACATCATCATTAGAGTCGGTTTGATAAAACCGTTGCAGTTGACCTTCCCCGCACTAATTTACCTGTGAATAGCACTCGGTTTCGCATCCTTGTCTATTGTACCGAACCGGGTCGCCATTATTGTTCGTACTTCGTACCTTTTTAGTTAATACCGGGCAAAATGTGACGACTTTATATTCGGCGCGTATCGAAACACGTAGCGTTCTCGTTTCCGCAGCGACCATGCGCGTTACAACATGAAAAAGATCTGCGACAAAATCACCAAACAGCAATGGAGGATCACGGTGCCTAACATCAACTCATCGATGTTCCGAAAATCGCCATCCAAAGACGAAACGTCCAAGAGTCCGGACAGAGGATCGAAGAGGTCCTCGGGTTTCTACGACCTCCAGGAGGCGCAGCTCGAGTTCGACAAGGCGAGGAGTTTGCCGACGAGCATCTACATAGACAGCGCTTCGAGTTCGTGTAGCGAAGATGGTCACTACGAAGACGCCAACGAGAGCGGGATCGAAAAACGGTCGAGCAAAAACGACACCGACTTGGAGCAATTCACCGACGCGGAGGAGAGCTTGGGCTCGAAAAACATCAGCAAAAACAATAGCCAGTTCGAATATGACGTGCCCAGGATAAGTTTTAAGTTTTTCGAAAAGAATACCGATGAAAACCATTACGAAAACGAGGAGGAGCCGGTTTTAATCGAGCACACTGCGAAGGGCGAGTTCGAAATCGAATTGGAGACGCGTGGGGATCTACGTGAGGAGCAAATAAGATGTCATCCGTCGGAAAAGTTCGTAAGTCAGACGGAAATTTTGGTGCGCAAGAGTTACGAACATTTGCCGGTCGGTATGGTGAAGTCGGGCAGCGATCCGAACATAGTGCTGCGTGCTCAGGACGAAGACGAAGGTTTCTACAAAGTGCCCCGGTCGCTTCAAGTGAAGCACAGACTGTCTCAGTCTTTAAACGACTTCGATCCGGAATCGGAAGACGTTCAGAAATTGAACGAGTCGAACCGTTCGAGTATCGAGCACATATCCTGCAGTCAGGTGATTGCCGTGACGTCACCGAATCAGCTGGGCGACACTTCTCGAGATAATCCGGAAAATTTGGATTACTGCAAGGCTCGAAGCAGACTTCCTTTGCGGATCAGGCGGCCCACATTGCTGAAGAAACCGAACAAGGCGGTCGACACTTGGAACCACTTTCGCACGAGAGTTAGCAACATGTTATCGGAACAGGCGGCGCAGCAGAGGGTGGGCGCGTTTAGCGATCGCGAAAAGTTGTCGATCAATTTCGAGGAAATGTACAAAAATTCGAAGACCAAGTGCAAGAAAGTTTTCCAGAACACCGGTAAAATGTTCGTGAAAAGTCACGGGAAGAAAAGTAGTGAAAATTCGGACGCAGATAGCAGCTGCAACAATTCGCCTTCGTCGGGGATCAGATCTGATGGGTTCCCGTTTAGGCCGCGACTACAAGCTAGTGATATAGAATACAAACTGAATATAAGCGACCAAAACGAGAAACACGACGTTTTGAGTGAGAACGAGGACAATATGGCGAACGATATCGGTTCGCCGGACGATAAGAGGGAAGAGTTTGATTTTTCTACGATCAAGAGTGCCTTTAAAAAGAAGTTGTTTATCCCTGAGGTAAGCTTTGAGAACGCATCGGCTCGATCGGCAAGATTACGAAGTTGCTTGTGTCTTTGTTTTGGTAACGATTGTGCCGGGCTTTAACTTTCATTTCTGCACGTTTTCCACAGGAAAAGTTACTTATTATTAAATGTAAATACAAAAAAAATGTAGGTTAAATTTTTGCTTCTTCCTTCATAGGTTGAATGACAAGCGAAATTTTTATAAACTTAAGCTATTTTTGAAATATCTAAAGCATTACTAAAATAATATCAGTACGGTTTCTAGTGTTATAGTCATTTGAATTGAATCGAATTGTGGATCTAATACAGTTCCCAAATATTTTATATGTTTCTCATACTGAAAATCAATGCCATTTATATTAATATTAACACTCTCCAGATCCAATGCACTCAATCCATGTTTTTTGATTATTTAGGTTTTATTTATTTTTTAGGTTATTATTGCACAACCATACAAACACTCGATACAGGTCATCATTGATATCATGGTATCGTCGCCAAATAATGTAATTTTGCTGTTTTTCACAACTTCAGCTAGATCATTAATATACAGAAGAAACAATAATGGCCCCAAAACAGTCCCTTGTTGTACCCCATGATCCACCGAGATATAAGTAAGATTCTAGGCAATCCAGGGCTAAGTGCTGAATACCAATATTTTCTAGCTTATCTATTAAACTATCCTTATTGACAGTCTCAAAAGCTCTTCTAAAGGCCAAAACAAAACTATTGTCATCGACAGGCCCAACAAATTCATCACAGATCACAGTCTCGCAAGAATGTCCCGTTCGAAATCCCTGACTTTCCGAGTTCAAACATAGGTGTCCACTACACCATATTTCCGTCATAGGTTGGCATAGGTTGACCCGGATATTCTGAATCAGGCACCCACAAGAAAATTCAAGAGAAATTTGTATAAATTTAAGCTATTTTTAAGATATCTAAAGCGTTACTAAAATGATTACAGGTTCAGAACAGGTTCCATCCGCATTTTTGCAAGTTTTTTACATATCAATAACTTTAAATATAAAACAAGTTAAAAATGTTACTAAAAAATGTAAAAAAAATTCCACCTATGGGTATATTGTTTTAAATTTTTGTAGATCAGGCAACGAAATTCGAGGTGAAATTTGTATAAACCAAAACTGCTTTTGAGTCATTTAAAGCAATATAAAAAAATTACAAATTCAGAACGCCGGAAAATTGATCTTTTTCCAACCGCGCTTTTGCTTGTTTATTATAGGGGATGCGTTATTTAAGTATATAGCGTTTTAAATTTGTAAATCTGTGATTTTCCGATTTGAAACGTAAGCGTTCATTACGTATTTTCTTGACAGGTGGGGACTTGGATATTCGAATATTTCGATTTTTAACGGGTCTAAAGTTTTTCTTAAGAAACCCTTGCTTCAGAACGCAGCAAAACTCACTGACATTTTTTCCACCGGACATGTATTTTTTCACAGGATGATAGAAACAATTCTTGAAAGTTTGAAATTTTCCTTAGCTCCCCCAAAGTTAAAATAAAATGTTTTCTCGATATTTGAAAATAAAAAAATGATTGACGAAAAAAATGTTTTTGTATTGTATTGTATTGTAAGAACTAGTAATAACATCCATTACGTACAATTTTTGTAAAATATCAAAGAAAAAAGCACAATGATAGTAAAAATGTCATAATTTTTAAATAAAGATATGCTATTTAGGTTGCTGATTATTTAGACTTCCCCCATGATTACATAGGGGATATATTACTTGTTATTAACTTTAAAAATTTTACTAAAAATGTACTCAAAATATTGATCAATAGGTATAGTAACATAACTGTCCACTACAGTTTATTTCCTTGATAGGTTGGCATCTGGATATTTGAATATTTCGATTTTTAAGGTATCTAAAGTTTTTCCTAAAAAACCCCAGGTTCAGGGGTTTCTCGATATTTGAAAATAAAAAATGATTGAGGTGGCCCTTCCTTCCTTTTTTCGGTAACAAGTTCGGCAAGTGAAAGATTTTTTTTATTGTAAAAAAGGTGATAATTTTTATACAGAGATATGATATTTACGTGAATGGTTAAATTAGTTCAAACTTTTTTCAAATCGATGCCTTATTTTCTATAAAAAAAATGTCTCCTGTACATTCTTGTTAAAATCTTCTGTTGTTTATTTAATCCCATTTTTATCGTTTGTCTTGTTTTTTTTTTGTAAAAATTCGATTAAACGAATTGAAGTGGTTCAAAGTTCAAAAATTATTTTTCAACATAATTTGACCCATTTTTCAATAATTCTAAAAATTGTTTCTCTGGCATTTGTCGCGATAATATTATTAAATTTATTTTTAGTTACAGTCTCCCTATTTCTGATATTTCAATTATATAGTTTTTGTGATTACAGTGTACAATTAAAATAATATAAAATGTTATAAAAATTCGAGAATAAATTACGCGAATTATTTGATATATGTAAATTATGTGTACATCACAATTTGTCAGTTGATAGTGTATACTTAATTAACTGCTTAACGGAAAGAAACAAGATTAGATTTATTCAGTTTTGAAGATATATATTTTGTGCACAGTGAAGTAAACTTAGCAAAAATCATGGCGACGGATTTACGCAAATCGATGAAGTTCTCGGTGCCCGGGTCGTGAATTAAAAGATTATCCGCATTAAATTCTAAACTTTCAAAGCTATAAATTTTGTAGGCGGGAAGTTCAAATTTTACTCATGGGTCAATCAGATCATGACAAGAGTAATTAAGTAAGTCAAGGAGTTAAGTGATTCAATTTACTTTTGTCAACAAAACAATGGGTGTAATTTATTTATCTTTTTGGGTGAAGGGGGTCATTACTGCAGCGCTTTAATTAAGTAATTCAATTAAGAGAGTTGATTGTTTTTTTTTCTTTCCTTTCCATCGACTAAGCGAAAAGTTCCAAAGTAGTTTACTTTGTTAATAAACGTGACTATTATCAAAAGTGAGTTTAATTTTTGACGATATTTTTGGATTATGTTTTTGATTGTTTGCCAAGCGGATAAACAGAAATAAAATAATCTTATAGATAGATTTTACTATTTTGTTTTCAACGTAGGCAAATGATACGCGGGGTTCGAAAATAAATTCGTGACTTTTAAGTAAGTAAATGTGCAGTTTTCGAAACGTACGGCGTGTAAATTGTTTTAGCAAACTGCGCCGTTAAAAGCTCGTAAAGTAAAACCTTTGATTTTTTACAATCTACGATAAATCTGAAATTGCCTCTGTTAACTATATACAAATAGTGGAAAAATATCATACGTTGTAAGCATTTCCTTATTTCACCGAGGTAAACATAGCTTTCCCGGCTGAAGCTCCGGATGTATTTTTCTAAATGAAATAACCTGTTTCTGTCAAGTTATACACACCACGCAACTGTAATTATTGTTATTATCGATGTCAATTTATTTTTTACATTCGGTTCGATTGCGTCAGATTTTTTATTCCGGCTTCTAGTTGCCTGTGCCTGTGTAGAAAATATCATAAATGTTATAAGTTGCTTATTTTAAATAAAATATATTTTATAATATTCCTTTGTCTGCTTGTCTTGGCCAGTTAAATTAACGCATCACTACTATATTTGGAAAAATATTTTTTATTTCACAATACAAAAAAACAAGCAAATTCAAAAAATCACAAAATTAACTTTAGTTAAAAATAATTATTTTGAATTATTCCATATTTAAACAATATCTCCGGTAAGTTTTATGCAGGTTAGGTAGTTCCTGATAACTTCTGTAGATCATGTTCCAAACATTCTCTATTGGGTTAAGATCAGGACTGGTTGGTGTCCATTCTGTGGTTTCAATTCTAACCTCATTAAGATAATTTTGTACAATATGAGCAACATCTGACCAAAGAACTCTTTCCCAGTCTTCATCAGCCCAATCCATGTGTTCTGTACCTTAGCCTACGATACTCTGCAGTCTATCTGCTTCCTGTAGCAGCTGTTGCCTGAAAGCAGAGACTAATAAAAAACGGTCTTGGAACTGGCATAGTCTGCGATGTCTGTCTTGAACACGTGTTCTTAAGTGCTGATCTGTCTTCCACAGGTCCAATACCATTCTAGTAAAATAAATGCCAGAGCACACTCTTAACTTAATTTAAATTTTTATGATTATTTTTGTCCTATTGTCCACAAACTTATCCTGGCGAAATGTCAAGTGTGGTTTTAAAAGTATGCATATTGATATTTGGAAAATACGTAAAATTTCTGATTTGGTTTGGTTAGTTTTGGGTAATTTTAACATACAAACACAACCCTTCTTTTCTTCTCATTTTTCCGTTTTGGATCTTCTTCGACCTTTCTTTTTTCTTAAATATTTATGGTAAGTCAAAGATTTTTTAAATTGCAGTAATTTTTAACCTATAAAAAATTAGCAGTTGTCAAATAGGTAGCTGATTTTAAAAATTAAATAAAATGCAGTATGTAAATACTACTGCAGCAGTTAAATATTAAATAAGCAGTTAACTAAGTAGAACATAGAGAATAAGGATGTAGAGGGTAATTTCCTATTACCGGCCGGTACCTAGTTAAACAGTTTTGTTCGGTCTATAGGAGAAAGAAGTTTAGAATCGGGCTATTCACTGATTTGGTATAACGCAGTTCGGTTTCCTGCGATATGTTATTTAAAAATATTGTTGACTCATGTAAGAAACTTCCACAGGTCGTCTGTGGAAGCCTGGGTATAATTCTTCCAGCAATTGAGTATCATTACGTCGTAATAAGTAATTTTTAAAATTTAACTGAACCACACATCTCTTTTACTAAATACAAGGTGTGTTCAAAAAGTAAGGTGACTTTTCCAATTGGGCGGGCTTCGTTCATTAGATCTTCGATTTTTTTTTTGTTATGTTGGTACACACGTCCTTAACATATGTTCATAGTTACAACCAGTTTGCACGTTTTCACAGAAGCGTTAGACGTGTTTTGTGTGTCAAAAACATTTTGCATGAAATTTTGTGTAAAAAATGGAATACAGTGCTGCAAAACACTTGAAATATTGATAACCGCATATGGTGAATCTACTTTGAGCAAAAAAAAGTTGCCTGGTGTCATGCAATTTTTTCCGAAGTTTTGGACTGAATAATTTCAAACAAAAGGATCGTTGAAGCAGCATCGCTCAAGAGTTATTAAACGACGTCAATGATGATATGCTCGAAAAGGTCATAACTGGTGACGAGTCATCAGTCGTCCAAATGGAAGCAACCAGAATCGCCAAGACCGAAAAAAGCACGTCAAGTTTGATCAAATGTCAAGGTTTTGCCTACTGTTTTCTTTGATTATCGTACTCACTGAACGTTGCTTGTGTCTAACTTTTTGACCAAAAACAAAACCAGAATCATGCCTCACCTACCATATTCTTCACCGGGTATAGTCCCCCGCCACTTTTTCCTGTTTCCAAAACTCAAGAAACCCATGACAGAAAGAGGTTTGGAACGATTGAAGAGATAAAAAAAATTCTCTGGAAGAACGCAACGCTATACTAGGAAGTCCTTCAAGGATTAGAAAAAATGTTACCACCAGTGTATTATATGTTAGGGGTTTACTTTGAAGGGGACAACATTAATTTTGATAAATAAATAAATACTTTTTGATAAAACTTAAAAGTCATCTTTATTTATTTATTTTTCATTTGAATTTTAAAAATTACTCCCCTAATTCATTTTAAGAAGAATTCTTAACATTCAACACAACACCGCGTGTTTCTGCAACGAAGAAATTGTGTTCTCTTATTTTTTAATAGGAAAAAATAATCGCGAAATTTTTAAATGATTTGGTAGCAACAATATCCATTTTATATTCGATGTTTGTTGCATCCATATAGTAGATATGCCGTAACCTGGTTTACGTCGTTCAGAATGGCACAGTGCACAGATGGTACGAATAATTCTAATTGGGACTTGTCCGGTTATGCTCTGGTAATTCACTTTTTCTTTTGCGCTTCACTAATCGGCTAATTTAACGTCACAATTTGTGTTAATAGCGGTAACCGCGTTCGCCGTTTGTTTCGAATTGATTGGGGATATAAAAAAAAGGCTTTTATACCGTCACAACTGTTCTGCAGTGCGCTGAAGCTAAGTCCTAAATATCAAGGATTTATTGCAGGGTCAAAACGGGTTTGAAGACTTGCGCAGATATGTGAAGCAGGGCGGCGACTTCTGCAAGGAATTGGCCACGATTCTGCAGGAGAGGTAACGTATTTAAAGCTTCTTTGCGCGCCTTGGATCGCTGACGTTTTCACAGAGCGGACGCTGAGACCCAGTACGCGAAAAACTTGTCGAAACTGAGCAACAAACTTTCGAGGGCGTGTAGGGACGGCGTCGGTGGCATAAACGAAGCCTGGAAAGCGGTGGCAAACGAGTTGGAAAATAAAGCGGAAGCTCACAGGATCGTTGGTACCGCGCTCTTGGAGGAAACCGCGAAACCGCTAAGGAATCTCACTGAAAATCAACACAGGTACTCTTCGGATGGTTCCCAAGAGCAACATATATGATTTACTGTTGTTGTAGAACCAGGAAACAGTGCGAGGCAGCCGTGGAAAAAGCTGCTAGATTGTTGGGAGATTGGAGGGCCGCTGAAGCCAAGGGAAAGAAGCACAGTCACTCCTGCGCGAGGGACAATGAAAAACTGCAAGACGCCGCCATTATCGATACGAGTAAATATGGAAAACAAACGTAAGCAATACTTTTTCTAACAAGGAATGACTAGAATGGAACTCTTGTTGATAGATCATTTAATTTAAGTTAGCCTAAAGTTTGGTCTAAAAGTACAAAAAATTTAAAACATATATGACTGACTTTTAAAAAGGATATTGGTGTCCGGAATATTTTAATCACACGGTCTAAGCCTGAAAATACAGATTTTTGCACATTATATGTAAAAATAATGAAAACATTTGAATTTCCTAATACTTATAGGTTGGAAATTATTGACTCAAAATCCCGATTGGGTCCTCACCTCGATTAAGTTATTTCTTCAAAATCAAAAAGCTGTGAACCCTCTTTTATAGGAACTTTGACTAGTAGGTGGTAGCTAATACTTTAGTTAAGAGAAAGTCCATAATAGTTCAGACTCGTCTATTTTTGATAATGATACAACTGCCCGAAAAGTTTTGTAATTTAAATCAAAATAATGACAATCTCCTAGTATTTCAATTTTTATGTCTATTTTAGGGAGTGGAATAACTGAATAAAATATTATCGTCTACTATTTGGACACTGTCTCTATTTCACTTTGTACAAGAGCTTTTAGCTGTACTTTGTAATTATTTATTTTTTAATTTGCGTTGATTATTTTTATTTTATATTTTTTAAATGCCAAAAACTCAAATTCCAAGGAACTACAATCACTACTTTAGTCGTATATTTCACTTTTAATTCTATTAGAAAACTAACTGTGGATGTTTTTCTATGATTTAACGTTGATGATCGATTATTATTATTATTATTTTTATTATATAGTACAAAATTTTATTACAAAATACAAATACAATGTTATAAGATAAGTTCAATACATCCCATGAAGACAATAGATAAAGTTTTCATTCCACTAGAGTAACCTCGCAGGTGGAAAAAAAGACTATACATACTGAATCTATTCCCAGGATACTATTAGCTAAATTATAAACTATTTAGACAACTTGAACAAGCTTCCTAGAACCAAAAAAAAAATCTGAAAAAAAAAAGGAAAAAACATTAATAATTCTATATTTTGTCTTTAGTAAAAACAATAATAACTCTTAGATTACTAATTTTAATCTAGTAAGAATACACAGAAAATGTAGATACAAAAACTAGTAAAGAATCAGAAGCAAATAATGCATAAGTGAATCAAATTAATAAATTTGAAATTATGATCAGGAATTTTTTTTTAAAAAATTTCGACTGCAATATTTTGAAAATAGATTTGTTCGCATCGTGCATACCAAATTCATTAAACATTTGTATTGTTGGATAATAGGTATTCCTTTTATAAATAATTTTTAAAATCCCTTTTTGTGAAATATCTGTTTGTTCTGTTTGTTTAAGTTGGTCTAAATGAAGTTTATTTGTGATATATTCGAAGTGGTGGTCCCATCTCAAATGACTTCCAAAAATTACTCCAAGATTCTGTGATTTATTGTAAGATTTGATGTCAAAGGTACTCGAGTTTACTTGAAATGTAAGGGAATCATAGTGGTAATTTATTGTTATACGAACTAAAAGGCATAAAACAGTTTTTGTGAAGTTTATGCTAAGTTTGTTGTTGTTAAACCATTTTATGTATTCTATAAAATTACCTTGTATTTTGTCTTTTTAATGTTCCCAAGTATCAGCCCCATAGTAAAAACAGGAATCTTCTGCAAATATAGCGCTTACCCCACCCATCACCTTAAAAAGTTCATTAATATAAATAATAAAAAAAAAGTTGACCAAGGACGATATAATGGTACCCAAAATAATTAATCATACTTTGATTTCCTATTATTTTTTTCTTATTTGTTTAATTTTTTTGTAAATTGTAATTTTTGTAAATGTAATGTTGTGTACCGAAGTAAATACATAAATAAATTACTTAAAGATAAGAGCACGTTTTATGATGATCATAATAATCAATGCTTAATTACTTCTAGAAAATTGAAAAATAATACCTAATAATATAGAGGTAGAATTATCGCCAGCTCGAAAATTGTTTCTAAAGAATGTAGAGCTGTACGTGAAAGGGTAAGCTCGAACAGAATAGCTGGTTCTAACAGAGATAAGCAATTCTTTTGACCAGAAACCGATGACGTCTTGCTTGACGTCACTGCTTATTTCTAGTGCCTTCACACTCTATGTGAAATTAAATGAATTGAAAATGAAATTAATTGAACCATAGTAGTAATTGCAATTGATATCTTATACAATAAAAAAACATTCATTTAATTACAATTCTTAACTATCTATTACGTGGGTGCTGCTAATAAACTTTAGGATTAGTCATATAATAAATTATTAATTAGTTACATACCACGTAAGATATTATATAAGAATAGTAATTACTAATTATTTTAAGGAGAGTAATATATTAAAGCCCAATATATATATATATATATATATATATATATATATATATATATATATATATATATATATATATATATATATATATATATATATATATATATATATATATATATATATACAAAATGCTACATGTGTTTCCAATTGTTCAAAGTTTATTAATTTCCTAAGCCTTCTTCTGAACAACTTAGCTTAATAGTTTTAATTTTTTGTTTCTCCTTTTTTGGTTTCAAATTATTTCATCCGTCTTCTTCAATTTGCCAAAAATCGCTAAATAATGCTACTAAGCTCGAATATTTGATACAGCATTTTCTTTTTCAGATTATCGAAAAGCACGAGCCTGATTCATTTAGCGCAGCGGCAGAATTCCGTGGATAAGGAAAACGCAAAGGTTAGTCGATACCGAAAGTCAATTATTTAACGGGTATTTCGAGTGTGTATTACTAATTGCGGTTTCACGAAGAACGTGACAAATTCGGTCTGATAACATTGCAAAGCAAACATGGTAATATATTATTATTGAAAATGCCGACCTCTCACGGGCGGGCATATTACTGAAGAAAAAAAAAACAGAAAAAAGTTTTAAGATGTTAAATAAGAGTTTTATGCCTCGGTTATTCTACCAAAGAAAGCATTTGCAGCTAGACATTTATATGACTTTTTTTGGATATTCTCAGCTGTAAAAACTGAAAAAAAAATTGACATATTTAAATTGGAACACCCTATACAACACCACCGACGAATTTCTTCGTTTTTTGAACTAACCTTTGATGGCATAACCAGTCTGCTTGCAAACGAAAGAAAATCTAATTTTTTCAAATCTTAATTTTTTTCTCAAATAAGAGCTTTTCCATCATTTCTTGAAAAAGCTGAGGATTATATGTAATATGTATTAATTTTCGTGAAATTTTACAGTCGACAAATAATTAAACGAGGACCCTTTTTGATATATTGAAGTTTATCTTTAGGATATTTTAGAATTTTCCTGAGCCATCATCTTTGTAGCGTTTTTGAATTTGCATATACAGATAACGAAAAACGGAAACGAGACGCTTGTTGCTTGTCGCAAAGACAAAGATAACAGTAACCTATCATGTTGGGTCCTTCGTTGATTCTAATAATCCACGCATATTCTTGTTACACTGAAGATTTGATCTATGGACGGCTATAATCTTTTGTTAAGCATATACCATTTAAAAAATGAAAATGATGCGGTATGCAAAATCAATATTTTTAAAAACCTCCAACTTTTGTATTTTATTTCTGGCAATTTAAATATTAAAGTCTGTAAATTAGACACGTCGCTTCACACAGACTCATAATTTTATATATCGGTAAACTCCATTTTAAGAAAGAAAGTCAAGGTCAGCAAAAGGCGCAATGAAAAATGAAAACGCATTGTGTGTGAAAATATTATAAATTATGTTTAATTTAAACGGAAAATCTGTAGTCTCTGAACGTTTGAAACTTTGCATTCACACAAATGTTGTAGAAAGTGCAATAACCATCTGCGTATTGTAAATTATCGAACGACTATATAATTTATCAAGATATACAATTCTAGCGATTTCGATTGCGCCAGTTAAGAATTATGTACAATTTGAGCGCTGTTTATTATTACCTCGGCATTTGCTTTAGTCAAAATAATTCCGCAAAAGCAAAAATCGTTGCTGCTAAGCTGCTGGGTACGTTCTCCATTGCGAAAGGTAATTAAAGAAATGCTACGGGGTGTTCCTTTGATAAGATTGTTTGAAAACGAGTACAAAATATTTCACTCGTATAATTTTATTGTCTATTGTCATATGTTTATCGTTACTCAAAAATGAATCCGGAATACTTTCATGATTTGAAATTTATGAAACGTGATCATTGAGTCTTGAATAAAAACAAATAAATAACTATAAATATCGATCTAATAGTATAGATTTATTTAATGATGCCCAAGTATTACAAATTAATCATTTGTATATAAAATTAGCGGTAAGATTTGCCGCAAAAAATCAAAAATACTTGCACAAAGCAGCACCAAATATCACGAGACAAGCACAAAATAATGACTGTATATACTTTTTATAAGATATATAATAAAAAATAATATACTAATCAATAATATAACATTTGATAAAGACTGAACTGAATCTGAACTTTTAGTTCTTATTTATTTTGATAAATGGATTTTCATCAAGTAAAAGCCACCTAAGTTCAATAATATTATAACTTGGTTCTACACCTAGTACCACGCTGGGTATAGTCTCTGCCTATTATTGTTACGCGTTCTTTAAAATTCATTCGGTTTGCACCTCTTAAGCCTGGTGGACAAGATGCAGTGTGTCATGTACATATTGCAAAGTACCAAGTTAAAAGAAATTTGACGTATAAAATTATCAGCTATTTTTTCCGGAATTTGTGCGTGTAAGTCGGCGCAGCGCGTTTGTTTTAATAAACTTATAGGATTAGCCTCTATGCAAAATGTAAATAAAGTTGAAATCACGAAAGATGACTCTTAAAAAATAACTAACTAAAATACGTTCAAGAAGCAAGGGCAGAACCTCATATAGACAGAACGCTCTTCCTAGTCCAGTCTAGTAGTTACAGATGAAAATTAAAAAAAAAAAAATTAAAACCTTAAAAAATGTTATAATATTTAAAACAAAAAATAATTTTGATTAATATATAGTCCATAATATAGGAAAACTATTTTCGCCACGAATTGTATTGTATTGTTTTGTAACCTGTTAGTTATATCGATTTGCAAAAATATTTTCATGTTAAGTGTTATGTGTTGGGGAAACTTTATATTGCAATAAATAATTGTTATTGGAATATTGGAAATATTATTATAATTAGCGTCTTTCAAAACTAAAAAAAAAATAAAATTTAAAATTAAAAAAAAAACTAAATTTTATTTCTTTGATATTATATACTAATAAGATGGCGAAATACGATTTTCAGCAGCATATTGAGGTATTAATGTTATAGAGGGTAGGTTGCAATTTTTGCTGTTGTACCAAAAATCGGCCTCTAGCATCATCACTAACAACTAGGCGTGTGACAGTTAAATTGGGTTGGGTTGATCAAGAGATGCGTTTTCTAACGAGATCAAGTTTGTCAAAACCGATTACATCCTTTAAACGTTAGAGCGATTTAATTTATAGCAATTACCCTACCACTATATCTTAAATTTGTAGGTAAAAAAGCGTTAAACAGAAACACTCGACTTAAGCTTAGCATTAAATATTGAACTGAGGTCGCTTTTACTTAATAAAAATCCATTTTTCAAAATAAATAAGAACTAAACGTTCGAATTTCATGGTATGAAAATCTGAACTTTTAGTTGTTATTTATTCTATTCTTTTTTAGTCTTTTTTCGTCAAACATCAAATTTAATTAGGGAATATTTAATTAATTTAATGTAACTTAATTAAAAATTTAATTAATTTAATTTAAAAGCTCCCATTTTAAAGTTACATGACGGTTACATACATTTTTATATTTTTCAGCTGGAGGGAAAGAAAAAGAAAGCCGAGGACGCGGTAAAAAAAGCAGACATCGAATATTACACTCTTTGCGTGAGGGCCGAGAGAGCGAGGTGAGAAACTGTTGCGCAAAAAAAAAACATTTCAGCAGTACTTAGCAACTTTTTTATTAGATTGGAATGGGAGTCGGCCGTTCTTCGCGGTGTGAGCACATTCCAATCGTTGGAAGAGGAGAGACTGAATCATTTAAAAGTGGCGTTATCGTCGTATTTAAAGCACAATGCCGAATTTGGCCCCAGACTTATCGAGGTAAGCAAAGAAGTAAAAAGTGAAACTTTATCAAACGTTATCGCTATTTAACATAAACAACAATTTTTCGCTCGTTTGCTTGCTCTTTGGTTTTAACCATATAGATATTAGATAATGTAGGGGCCCTACTATGGTAAAAATTGATGCGGCATTGATATTTTCATAGTGAAGATGATGATGATGATTTTCTGCAAATGTCCACTAACCTGCACCATTATCTTTGTAAACAGAAATTTCCACACACTTAATTCATTTTCACAGAAAATTTAACGAGATCTGGGCATATTTTGCGAAAATTCATGCCGCGTCCAACTTATTAATGATCTATCACCGGCCATGTTGTTTGTTAAATGCCGCAAGGTCATTGGTCAGTTTCGGTTAGTTAAGTTAAAACGAAATCTTAAATCTCGCGCATGCGCGTGTTTAATGAACTTTCTCAAAATTTGTATTCATAGTTGCTGCATAAGTTCTTGTTTTATCAGCATCGGCAGGGTCCCTGAATCTCCAATACCTATATGGTTCTAACGTTCCCATGATTGGACGAATGGAAGAAATTAAATTTACATGATTTTTTCAAAATGTGGGGGTAATAGATGGTTGAAACTTTGCCACTTGTAATATTTTTATTGGGTGATTACAAACCAGGCAACTGAAAGACTGAAAGCGCCGGCAACTCACGCCGATCCTTCGAGGGACCTAATAACCTTTCAGAATTTGAGGCAAACATCGCAGCAGGTTTCGGAACAACTCCTACCAGATTTCTATTGCGAACATATCACGTTGGCGATGAACAGGGAGAGAAGAAAACAGGTATTATGCCAAAACTAAAACCCATTGAAAGAATGAAAGTAATTGTACGTTTTCAACCCACAGGCTCTGGTCAAACTGTTGCACCTCATTCGGCAGGACATAGAAAGGGAAAGGAAATCCAAAAACGGATTGGAAAAATTCTCAAACGCCATAAAGCAAACCCCAAGTTTCGGCAATGAAGATTCCCAACAGAGTGTCACCGAAAAAATGTACCATGTAAGTAGAAATTCGAATATTTTGTAGTTTTTCCTGCTAGCCGCAATACAATATACCATTCCAGTAAAAAAAAGATAATTCTTATTTCAAAGTGATGTACAGCGACATCATTTTAATTGAAATATTATCCCGCTATTTTCAAACCTTTAATTAAGTTTTCCATGTAAATTTGGGAGAGTAACCTAAAGCAGCTTCGATTCAGAATAATGTCAGAATGTGCCAAATGTCTAAGCTACGTTGACGTCTTGATTTTCGATGTAATTGAATATTTTTAGCTCCATGAAGTTTTTTTTTTCAATTCTTAATTTAAAGATATAAAGTTGTAGTTTAGTTCGCTAATAGCCAAGAATCATTTTAATTGTTTCACCCGAAATATAATGTCCCCTACTTGCAAATTGTATAAGACATCAGGTAGCCTATTCGGTGATTAAGAATTATGATACCTGTAAAATGTCAAAGATACGACACTATATTTGTATTAGACCTTATGAATAATTTCAACTTAAATTCTCTAAACCGTCTCTCATTTTAGTGAATAGTTTTTGGTTAGTTCTAGTTAGTTTTTTAAAGCCATTGGAGATAAAATATTTTAGAGTATTTACAATGCCACATTTATTTGTAAGTTATTATTTTTTAATTTATTCCTTTATTCGTTGTTTCGAACAGAAAACAAACAAATTTCGATTTTTAAATACAAAAACCATTAATTTTTTTAAAAGAGTCTCACGGGTTATTGTAATAATTTAGAAATTTTCTGGATTCCTCCTGCGTCGGTTTTTGATGAACTGAACTTGCTGACTTTTCGCCAAAAGAAGGTTTGTAAATAATCTACAAAAACCTTATATATTTTTGAATTTAGAATGGAAAAGATCTGCGCAGAGAGATGTACGACGATCGTCCTATCTTTGACATTTGATAGATATCACCGTCTAGAATCGCAGATTTGGTATCCTTACCCCATTTTACATGCAAAACATCTTTTAAAGCTTGGCAAACGGGGAAGGTTCTCTTTTAAGTGACACGTGGTCTTTTCTTTGAACTTTCAAAATTGTTGAAAAAAAGTAAGGCACTTGATGACGTACGTGAAATGGACTATCTCTATGACACTCACTTTCTGCTAAATTGATGACTGAAGTTTTGCTTCTTACACTTTTTTTTACCTCTTTTATTAACACTGCTATTAAACAGATATAATTTGATACGTGAGAGTGCTTACTTTTATTTTCAGCGTTGAAAAAATTGATCATCAAAAATCGAAAATTAATATATTATATGTTGTCCAAATTACATATTGTCCAAATTAGGTGTTGTCAAAAAAGATTTTTAGTAAACTTAACACCTTCTAGATGAAGTCAATGCTCACCTACCTCGAAGGAGCGCGCTACAAAGTCCAAAGCGCTCTGGCGGAGCTCGACAGTAGACCAAGAGCGGGTCATCCACTCGCGCCCCACATAACAATCACGAGAGACAAATCCGGCCTACAGCAAAGCGTGTTAAAGGTGATTATGATAATAACCATCACCAATCACTTGGTGTCAGCCAAAAATTATTTGATGGATATACAGTCGAAACTCTATATAGCGAAATTTTTTCGTTATAATGAGTCATCGGCTTTTGACAAAAAAGATCAAACCTCGAGAATCAGGTACATAAATACTTATTTACTCGAAAGGTCACAGTCAAATAGCTCCGTAATATATACGTACATATTACAATTTAGATTGAATTCTTAAGAACGATACATTTACGTTTCAAATAAAAATTTCAATTTTCAACAAATATTCGTTACGGTCCACCTCAGGATTAATGCAGAATGAACATCTGTTGGGATGAACTTTACCAGGGTATTGCGAAGGTACTGTAAAATACTCAAAACGTCAAAGGAATAAGTGCGCTATATTTTTGGTCGTATTATACTGGATGATAACACAGTTTCGCATTATATAGGGTTTTGCTATAGGGCGTTTTCGCTGTATTTGCAGGTTCCGCAATGGCTTAGGGAAGAATTTATCGAAACGGATCGTAGTCCGATGAGTGAGAAGTCTTTAAAGTCGGACCATTCGGATCCGCATTTGAACGAGGCGGACGACGGCGATTGGAACGACAGAGGAGCTGCGGACGGAAATTCGAATCAACTCGACTCTTCGGATTTCGGTAGACGCGTTGTGCCCGTCAAATTAGAGACAACGGTTTACGTCGTTTTCGTTTTCCAGATGAATTCTCCTCTCAATGCAGCAGTTCCGGAAATCCCGCAGAAGCGGAAAACCCGGTACACCCGATTGCGAGGTGTCGGGCGATCTACGCCTACACCCCCAATTTACCCGACGAGTTGTCGCTAAAGCCTGGTGACGTCCTGCAAGTGTACAGGCAGCAGGATGACGGCTGGTGGCTGGGAGAGTGCAACGGTAGCGTAGGCATTTTTCCTGCGACATACGTCGAGATTGTACCTTCGTGATAGTTGGGTGGCGTTTAACATCCTGTAGCAGGACGGAACGGGCGTGTCTGTCGAACTAATAAGGAAAATTTTGTATTCAGGTGTATTAACATAGGAGATTAATTTGTCTCGATCTTATTTTGTTCTAATATTGTACAAAATATCGACGCGTGAAAACCCTGTCTGCGAACTGTTCATAATGTTGTTACTTGTAAATAAACTAACTACATGTATCCATTTAATAACGTAATATTAAAATCGATTTCTGTAATCATTTGCGGTTATTTTTTTCTCCTAAATCCGATGACATTTCGAGCTATCCAAAATGCCGGACTCCCAGCAATTTTGGGGAAATAAGTGCGAAGAAATTCCATTGGTCAGTTTAAATAAAACAGAACACAGGCGGCATTTTAAAGTTAAGTTGTTTTATCCAGTAATTTTGATTTTTTTTTAAGTAACCGGGCTTGGATTTCTGTAATTTACAATGATAGGGAAGAATAATATAAAAAATGCATTGGTCAGTTTAAATTGCCGGTATTTTAAGGTTAGGTTGATTGATGCAGTAAGTTTTCATATTTTTGAAAAAGTAAACAAGGTCTTTTTACGAAAATTACTAATTTAAACTACCAGAGAAAATAGCTTTAGGATATACAAGGTGTATCAGTTTATATGAAGGGCACTAGCTAATACGTTCTAAATTAACGAATACAATAAATATTCAAAATGTATGTTTCTGTAACACCAAAATACCGATGACACAAGAAAGTGTGAACACTCTAAAACTTTTTTTTGCATTTTTGAATTCGGGAGGTCATTCTACGTCCGTTAGGATGGTTTTTCTCATTTCTCTTTGTTTTTTTAAATTTATTTATTAAATTAAATGTCCAAAATCCCAAAAATCAGGTGTCTACAGGTTGAAATGTGGATCTTGTCCTAAAACTTATATTGGACAAACAGGTAGATCTTTCAAGAAACGCATTAACGAACATATAAGAGCGTTTAAAAACAATAGTCTAGATTCTAACTATGCTACACACTTAAACACAGAAAAACACATTTTTGACGACAATTTTGATATATTACACACAGCCACAAAATGTAGAAAATTAAATTTATTGGAAGCCATGGAGATTAAGAAAATGACACATTCAAATGTTAACGATCAATTAGATTTAAATATCTCTCCTTTGTTGAACTTAAATTCCCGCAACAATATTAATTAAGGTTTTATGGTCATTTTTCGGTATATATAGTAGCAGGTAGTTTGTAAATATTACATTTGATAAAGACTCGGTGTTGTCGAAACAATTGTCATGTCATAATATATAATTTCGTGAAAATCTGAACTTTTAGTTCTTATTTATTTTGACAAAATACATTGTTTTTATTTTAATTTGATGCTGTTTGAAAACGACAGATGAATAAAAGAAATTCCTTGGCAATTTTTCATATGGATGTTGATATTTGATGATTTCGATGATTTAATTGATACTTTTTCGGAGTTAAACGAAATTTGACTGAATAAGACGCAGTATTGGGCTTTAAACATATCATAATATGTAGATTCTAATTCCACATGAAAGATTTTATATATTTATTTTATTGTAAAACATTAATAAATTTTGAAAAAAAATCAGTACCACATTGTCCTAATAATAATAATAATAATAATAAATTTTGAAAAAAAAAGTGCCACTCATCGATCTTATGCATGGGAACTAACTCCAAACTTAGTTAAAGTGCCCGTGACTTTGACGGCTATTAGCAAATGGCTGAGCGTAAATACCACAATTTGCTTAGGGATCCGTGAAATTTGTCTTTTAAACAAACCGGGTGGTGGCGGATCGAGAATGGTCGCGACGCGTGGTGAACATTCTTTCGTCGCCGGCACCCTTTCCGAGGGTGTGAAATTACGAGGGCAGAAATATAAGTACATACTGATATACTGACCCCACAAAGCCGGAACTTGAGGATAATTACGCAACTTAATTTAAGTTTTTATAGATTTTTTTTATAACTTACCCTAATGTCTAAGGTTAAATATTGTTGATGATACATTACTCAATAAAATGCATTTTTTTTTTTCGAGGGATAACGCCGGGAATCTTACATCAGCCAAACAGCATTTCTAGCGTGCTGATTGTCCCACATAATGGGAAGACCCCGACAGGGATGCGTACCCGTCGGGAGTGCCGGATTCTTACCGGCTAAACCCAGCAAACCCTTCGTCTTTACCACCTACCTGGGAACTGTTGTTCACATTACTTCCAACTAGGGGGCGTGTCTGTGCCACGTGGCGTTCGTATCTGTCGTTCCTGTATTTCTCCGTGCAGTATCAGTCAACACGTCACGTGTTGTCTCGTTAGTCTTCTAGGCAGCCGTCTGCCTTCTTTCTTAATAGTGTGTCCCTTATGAACTTGTCCACAAGGTCCCAGTTTTCCGTTGTCGACGTCATCAGGTCAATCACGTTGTCTAGCGTAATCGGTCCAGTTAACGTCTCGAGTCTTTGTCTTTCTACCGTCCATCGTGAGCAGTCGAAAAACGTATGTTCCGCGTTGTCAGTTTCTCCGCAGTACTTACAGCATGGGCTCGTTACCTTACCCATGCGGCAGAGGCAATGCCGGAAGTATCCAGTGAGGTAAAAATTCACCTCACCCCCGTCCCTCTCCTTCCACCGTCGCACGTCTCTGATTAGTCTCCTCGTTCAAGTGGAGTCCGTGCCGTTAGTCCATCGAGTCTGCCAGTCATCCATCGTCACGTTGCGTGCTTCTTTGGACACCCTTGCCCTGCCCAGTTCCATATTACGCTCGCAGACACTCTTTCGATCAAGAGCTAAGAGGTCTATGGGAATCACACCGGCGATAACGAACACCGCCGATTCGGGGACTGTTAGGTACGCGCACGCGATACGAAGAGCCCCACGTCTTTGCACCGACAGCATGGCCTGTCGGTATTTCTTTACTTCCATCGCGTCTCCCCATATCTCGGCTCCGTACAGGAGAATCGAATGGGTTACTGTCATCAGTAGTTGTCGCGTCTTCTGTTTTGGTCCTCTCGTGTTTGCCATAAGGCGACTGAGTGCTGCAGTTTTTGAAGCTGCCTTGTCTACGCCGCGCCTGATGTACGACCGGAACCTCAGCCTCGTATCCAGGTAGACACCGAGATACCTGACCTCGCCTCTGGTCGCCATCTGGGTCCCGCCTACTGTCATTTGCACATTCGTGTCAATGTGCTTTCGTGTCAGGTACGTCAGTTCGGTCTTCTGTATGGCTAGGTCTAGCCCTCGTCCCCGTAACCAGTCTGTAATCTGTCCCAGAGCTCGATTCAGCCGGAGCTGCGCCTAACGACCGTCCCGTGCAACTATCACGATGACGACATCGTCCGTGTATGCTACTAGGTGCACTCCCGGTGCCATCGGGATTCTCAGGATCCCGTCGTAGTCAATGTTCCACAAGTCCGGGCCCAAGATCGAACCCTGCGCCATTCCAGCCGTAAGCCGTCTCGTCCTTGTGCCTGTCTCCATTTGGTACGTAAGTGTACGGTCCCGCATGTAGTCCTTCATAATGCGGCTGAAGTATGGAGGCAACCTGAAGGTAGTTGGCATTCAGCATAAAAGGCATTTATCATCATCATCATCATCATCATCATCATCATCATCATCATTATTATTATTATTATTATTATTATTATTTTATTTTTAATATTCCTTTTAGAAAATCAAACGCAAAAAATTCGTTATGTAGAATTCTACGAAGTCGCAACTAGTGTTCTATTGATATTTTCTCAATGTCTCCTGTGCAAGTTAGAAAAACTTTCAAAGGTCAACAACGTAAATAATGTCAATAAGATTATTTATTATTATAAGGATTTGTTACAAGCAATATTTCTAGCTTAATATTTTAACTTTAGTTATAGCTAGCTATGTTTTTAAAGTACTATTGTTGTGCAAACCTGCAGTATCTCGTTGATTACCAAATAAATGAATAAATAAACAGTAAAATTTTTTTTGTTCTTAAAAATGTTGACAGATTAGTTTTAAGCACAAAACAGCAAAAATAAGGTTTTCTTAACGGAAAAAGTATTTTTCCACAAAATCATAACATTTGGGACCTATTACATGGCGGATCTGTATCAGTTTTCTTTAAAAAATAAAACTGGTGACAAAATATAATTTTCTTTTTAACGTAAACTTATCGAAGAACCCCCGTACAATCAATTTCCATCATTAATTCATCTTAATTAGTAGGCCACACTTCTGTCATCTACAGCAATATGTTTCCGCCCATTGTGTCGGCGGTTATAGGCGACCTCTCCGGAAAATATAGCCCCACGTACGGGAAGGAAGACCCCCGTTTTAACCCCCTGGGAACCGGCGCAAAGCTCTTTTGTTATTCATTGTCTCGATTGTTTGGCAACATATTTAAGTGTGGCCGATTATGTCATTTTAATGGTAGCGATGATAACTGGCCGGAGCTTATAAAAATATGGGAAACTTTTTAATTTTGGGTTTGTATTATATATTTTTTTACTTGCTACATTAATATACCCAATTGAGCAAAGTGTCACTTTCAAAGCGTCAACCTCGTTAGGCACGGTCGCGAGCCACTTAGGACGTTTCCGGTACCTTAGTTACGGCTTGGAAGCGATAGGATGTTTTAAATCCAAAGATTCCAAATGACCCTTGCCCAAATAGCAAAAAAAATTGTTGAATACTCCATCAGAAAGTCCTTTTACCTATAGCTTTAAAGCTTAGTGACTGCAAGAAGATCTAAAAATTCTTTTGGAGAATTTAATGAAACTGTACGGTCATAATTGCAGGTTCCGCATACAACATAATTATTTCCCACCACCGTATCATGTGAAAGACAAATTATTATTCTCCCCCAGTATCAAACCAAATAAAAACTCCCTTAAATAGGCTTAAAAAAATTAAATAAAGATAGCGCGCACTCGAACAAACGTGCTCATAGCAAATAAATAATTCACGACCCGCAAACAAAACCGAAAAGTAAACCAGAAAACAGCTTAGCGGAAAACTAAATCCAATGGCTTATCTTTCCGAACAATTGAGCGTCGAACTTTGACAATTGAATGAGGTACAAACGTCAGGGCAGGACAAGGCAGGAACGCACCAACCGATTTCATTGTCTGCTTTGCAGTTATTGAATAATGTTAAAGAAAAATGATATTTTTGGATAACATTTTCATTGGCCTGACGTCATAGATGCGTGTGTCTGTTTTCTTCATTCTATTATGTTCGAAAGCGACAACTCATTTACGTTGCTATTGCAAGATCAAAAAAAATATATCGGTTTTGGTTTTAATAGAATGCAATATAAATCTCAAACATCCTAGAGAAAATCCGTATGGATAATACTCATTCGTTACTTTTCAGTAAGATAGACAATTTGGAAGAATCCGTCATTTTAACAATTGCATTGTAAAATTTTGTAAATGTATTATTAGACTGCACTTTTGTTTAGATTATAACAATTTTTTTCTTTGGGAGCCAAAATTCGTATTTAAATGTTGAACTCAACTGCTCGTTATAAAAATGCAATAAATAATATTATATTACATTGTATGGAGTTTCATATGCCTTATAGCAATGATCATTGGAGATGCAAAAATGTGGCAAAATTGCAGAAATAATTAATAAGTCTGACAGAAATAATTGGAAATGTTTAAATTTTCTCAAAAAATAATGTTTTTATCACTACAAAGAAAGAGTATGTTAAAAGATATAAAACATTAGAATATCAAAAAAAGATATTACCCAATTGCGTAAATATTTGGGGAGCGTAAACCAATCGTTTCTCTCTGTTGTACTGCTCTGATATTAGCCAAAAGGGTTTATTTAGTACACCTATACTTCCCGATAAGTCTGACAAGCATGGGTTGAATAGTTTTAAGGTAGTGGACAATTTTTTTCTAATTTTTAACTAAAACACCTAGTCAATCAGCAATAAGCTACACTTCATTTAAGTGATTTTAAAGTAAGTCAGCACAGGATTCTACGGTTTACATATTTCCAATCGCTGAAGGATTCACCCTGTATAAGCGGTCTGGGTTAAATAATTTTGCGCTTTGTAGTATATAGTGTTGAAATTCTAAAAAAAAACATTTTTTTAAACTTAATTTTCAAACTAATGTAGATGTTTCATTGACATGTTTATAAATTTACGAGACTTCTATTAAAACGTTGATTTATTTTTTTAGTTAAAAATGAATTGATGGGGATTTAAAAACTTATTTTTATTTTAGCAAAGAGCAGTGTCTTAGCATTTTTTCTGGTACGAACGTCACTGGTATTTTTTTAAAAAATGTTTGGCATCAAAAAATGTCTTTTGATGGTTGACATTATAAGGCTTAATGAATGAGCTGGAGCTCGTGTTGTTGGTGCAATCCAAAGCATCCAGATAACGCCATTGGCCATACGCGCTAACCAAACCATGTTTGACACATGTAAGTGGGGCCTCTCGTGTACGGCACGTGATGGGGCCACGCGACCTGGCAAAATCACAGAGCTTAAGACGATTTGCCGGTCGTTGCAGTCGGCACCCTTTTTGAAAGTGACACACCCACGTTGCAAACCAATTTTCTAGAGGGTAGGACGGACGGGCAATTTGTCCACGACGACAACGCTGAATAATTTGTTAGAAGTTGAAGTTTAAGTTCAGCTTCTAACTTAATAAAAATTCGAACCTTGATACAGAGCTTCCGGCACCTATAGAGTGGTTTGAGATAATAATAACAATCCCATAAATTTTCAGTATGAATTAAAATACGTAGAGCCGCCAAGTCAATGACTGATATTGATTTAAATGTATTTTAATCTTAAATATTTTTAGTAAATACTATCTGCGCCATGTGTATCATAAAAATTTGACCCACTTGAAGTCATCGAATACTGTTAGTCCGTATTTAATTTACGATATAATTACACAGCGATTATGATAATGTCAATGTGACATGTGATTTGGAGTTTTCGATGACTTTAATTGATATAATTGGCAAATTGGCAGCCAAAATTATGGAAAAAGTGTGTCAATTTTGCCTAAAGGAATGGAAATATTATACCAAATAAAATAAATAAAATATCTGAAAACTAGAAAACTAAAACTATATTTTTATATTTGGAACAATCATGTATTAATATTTAAGACAATGTGTTAAACTTAAATGGAAATATTCCTGAAAATGTTATTTTTTAAAGAAAATATTAAATATCTGAAAAAGAAAAGTTTAAAACTTTTATATCATATTTACTACGTCTTTTAATGTTCAAACTAAAGTGATTTATTTTGACTGAGAACTGAAAACGACATATCACATCACATTATTTATGATAGAAAATCTGAAATATGCGTCTCTTCGTTTTTCGTTGAATATATTATATCAATGTTTTTTAATGTTTCAACAAACTGGAAGTTAACTAGTTGATCCAAATTTCACATTGAAGATAGTCAATAATTCAGTCAAAATTAACTCGGAACAAATAAAACAAAACAAAAAACAGTGCATTCACATTTTGAACAATGCAAATTTAATTGCAGACTCGCAATACCATCCTCGTATCTATAATGACGTCAGCGTTAAGCGCAGGCTACGTGATTTTTTCAGATGATTGTTATCCCCGACAATTTGACGTGAATCGCAATTTGTTGGCAAGATCGGGGTTAATAACCCACTATTATCCAGATAACAGGAAGCCTTGAACTGCATCTCAATGGTACAAACCTGATTCATTGACCCTTAATTTTCGAGTTCGCTGTATTAAGTGGAATTATGCAATATACCCGCTGTCCGCCGTCATTTCCAAAATTTTCTACATTTTCAAAAGCTCACACCATAAGGTGAAATCCCCACGTAATCACTTCTTCGATTTTTTTTCCCTTCAAACTCAGAAAATAGACATGCAGTGTGGCACAATTCAACTTTAGTGCTCAAAATAAACTCATCGCGACCACTGCCAATATTTATACAAAAAAATGAAGATGAACCGAAGCTCACTGATTTTGTTTTTAGTTCTTACAACTTTCGCAACTCGTTAGCACTGTGGTCTCAGTGCTCCCGGAAAAAATGAATCACTTTGGGTTCTACTCCTCCGAAATTTTAATTCCAGTAAGTATACTAGCAACTAATCGAAAGCCACAACTCAAATTATATAAATTTCGTTGCGTAAGATAATTGAAATTTTGAAGGTTGAAATTTTGGTATATATTCAATAACATCTTTAGGTAGATTGCAGTGGTTTGGATTGACCGGCAATGCATGCTATAGTGATATGTTTTCTGGCGATTTCTATTCAGTTGGTGTCTCCCGCTTATTATGACAGCTTCGAAGATTACTACGATATGGTAGTAGGCAACATTACCTACACTCAAAACTATGTTTTGTCTCAAGAGAATAGCGAACTGGCGAATGTGACTGATTCTCACCTCTATGGTAAGTCTATGCTGACTTTAGTTTATTGCTTTGATACTCCTAATATTCTGAATATCCATTTTGCGACTAAATCACAAAATGGATATTCAAATAGTTGTTGAAGATTCCGAATTGTCTTAGACTTGGACATAGTGCTACATGAAACTAGTTGGAGGCACTTTAAGAATGTGTCACAGTTTAAGGATTGCTGGGTCAAATGAACCTAGATATAATTTTATTTTTAAACTTCCTCGATTTTTGTCCCACTAGTATCATTTTTAAAGATTAGAATCAATGCCATAATTCTCTTGAATTTTGAGTTGTAATGATAATAGGTAACTATCAATTCGTTAGGTTGCTCGCAAATATTTTAGGTATCTGCCCCTTGCAGTCTGTTAGCTCTGGTTTCTTTCCAAAGAAGTTGGAAAGTTGGCCTCTATATAGGAATAAAAACAACTATAGCAGTGGAATGAGCATAATTTTAAAAGAAGAAATTTCCTTGATACATTATTTTTTTGTTTTGATTATTTGTTTGCCACTATTTGACAGTTGGTAAATTGAACTTATAATGTTTTGATAAAATCCTTAGAAACATTCACGACAGTGTGACAAATATCTAGTGTATGATCTCATTTCAGATTATGGAGTTTACGATTTCATAATAGTAGGGGGCGGTTCGGCTGGGGCAGTCCTGGCAAACCGCTTATCAGAAATTTACACCTGGAGGGTATTGCTATTGGAAGCCGGAGGAGATGACAATGACTTTACCATAATTCCAACCATGGGAAACTATTTGGCCAATTCTGAAATGAACTGGGCATATTCCACCACACCTCAAGAAAATATCTGCCAAGGTTTAACACGTCTAGCTTCAAATACTGTACGATACTAAGTGATAAGTGAAAAACCTTATAGGATTGGGAAATGAGAATCGCTGTCCTCATCCCGCGGGAAAGGTAATCGGAGGCACAAGCTCCACCAACGGATTAGTTTACACCAGAGGCAATCCCGTAAATTTTGACCAATGGGCAGAACTGGGCAACGCCGGATGGTCGTATGAAGATTTATTGCCGTACTTCAAAAAATCTGAAAACGTCGCTTTTGGAGTCAAGGAAGATGATTATCATGGCACAGCAGGTTTTTTGTCAGTCGACGTAACCAGCGAGACGCCCGGATTGGTAAGTGTTCACTTTGGAGTTTGTGATGTGGTATAATGAAATTAATTTGCAGCAACCTGCCGTATTTGAAGCATTCGAGGAGCTTGGCGTAGAGGAAACGGATTACAATGGGAAACAACAGCTAGGAATTGGAAAAACTCAGTATACACTAAATTACAATAAAAGAGCCAGCACTGCCAGAGCTTTCCTAGATCCCGTATTGTATAGGACTAACTTAGCAGTCAGTCTGCGCAGTTTCATCACTAAGTTACACATCAACACTTTTTCTAAACGGGTGTACGCCGTGGAATTTGTTAAAAACGGAAAGCGCTTTATCACTAGGGCAAGAAAAGAAGTGATTCTATCAGCAGGGGTGATCGGTTCGCCGCAGATACTGATGTTGTCCGGAATCGGACCGAGAGATCATTTGAATGAGTTGGGCATTGATGTTATCGAAGACTTACCAGTTGGCTCGACATTTCAGGATCAAGTGATTTTCAGCACTTTAGTCTACAGGTACCACTGATGACGATGAACAATTTTTACATTTTTCCAAGAAACTTTCACAGGCCACTATTTACAGAACTTCTGGATTTCTCCATCAGTTGTTATTGAGTCTCACTTGCTAACGTTTGGTCAATCCTCCTGTTGGCTTCTTCAGAGCTTGACTGAAACCTGCTTATGCACTGTTTGAGGGGGCGGATCTAAATGAGCGGCATAAACATCGTCTCGTGTGACTGGTTCCCATATTGGTGACAGGCGAAGACCTCAGTTGCGGTTAAGATTGTTAGATTGCTTATAGATTTCTATACATTCTCGGATTTTTGGTTGGTAGAAGAATTGATTACATGCAAGAAATTTTAGTGTTATCGAATGAAATTTATGTTCGGTTTCCTGATTGGGTTCGGCAACTGCTGATGAGATTACTGATATTAAGGCTTTTTTATGTTCTTTGAACTTAGTTGATATTTTTCGTCCGGCCTCTGGCATCTCAAATGGAATTTTGTCTTTGACGGATCCAAGATGTTGAGGGATTTTTGGACAAGTGGTACATCTGGCTTCGACGTTATATTTCTTTAGAACTTTTGATATGTGGTCAATAATGTTTTGAATGTAAGGAAGGACCACAGTGGCAAGTGTGGGATTGCTTTTGGGCCCATTGCTATTGGAAGGTGTATTTTGTGATGGTACTCTTAATATCTTTAATGTGGAAATTACTAGTGAGAAGATTAGGGGTGAAGTGTTTTAATTCTAGGTTCAGTAACCGATGATTTTTGAGACGAATGGTGATGTGACAATGCATTAAGGTATCCGTCTGTGTGCATAGGTTTTCTGTAAACACAATGACGCAATGTTAGGTCTGATTTTTCTATTAATAAGAGTATCTAAGAATGGGAGGTTATTATTAGTTTCTAATTTTATGGTAAAACGCATGTTAGGGTGTATATAGTTTTAGATAGAAGGTGTAGAGAGGTTTCTTTTTAATGCAGAACACATAGCTACTCCCGACGTTTGTTGAAAAATTTGACTGTTGTAAGAAAAATGTGTTCCATTCAAGCATTTTTCTTTAATAAAAATGAATTCTACGTCGAAATCAACCAGAATATGTTGTGTATCTAATGTAATGTTTTTTAATTGTCAATGAAGTGAAAGGAACTAAGTACGAAAATGTCAGTTTTCCCTGTAAAAGCTTTTAATAAAAAAGCAAGAGAATATGTTGGACAACCAACAACAGGTCGAGGGGTAATCCTGGTTTGTGAATCTTAGGAAGTCCGTAAAAACATGGAATTTTAGAGTCATGAGGAGTGAAAGACTTTTCAAGGAGTCTGATAGAGAAGAAGGGTTCATAACAGACTTGACGTAAAATCTTTTTTAAGTTGACGATATGATCCGTTTGGAAGAATATTTTGAACCTTTTCCAAATATTCATTTGTGTTCATGACCACCAGAGCATTTCCTTTAACTGCTTTTAGGATTACGATATCGGGATTAGATTTTAGAGATTTTAGGGCAATGCGTTCAGGCTTTCGAATATTAGATTTAAGGTGTTTTAGTTTTCTAAGGATTTTTGCGGTTTCAAATCGATTTTCATTAGTTGAGATGGTACATTGTTTAGGATAGACTCGACATTTGAAATGATTTCCTCTTTTGGGATAATGCGTGAGGCAAAGACGAAGTTGTAATATTTTTTCCATATCCTACAATTGGTGTGATGATACATTTATCACAGTGTTCAGAAGTTGACTTCGATGTTAGTTTGTGATTTTGGGTAGAAGATAAACGAAGATTTAAAGCTTTGTCATGAATCGTCTTTAAAAGAGTATCGAACTCGGATGGGGACAAGATGGAAGCAATTTCAAGATGTAGAGACCAAGGAGTCTTATTGATTTGGTCTATTTCCTTACGGGTATAAGGAATTCTTTCTCGAAATGAAGCGAAAATAGATTTTCTAAGGATTTTATAAACGCATGAGGTTTTGACATGATAAGACATTTTATGAAAATTGGGGATAACGTTATGGTCAGTTAAGGTCTCAAAAAGCCAATAGGATGTTTGACGAAACGTTAGTAAGTTCGACTAAAAAAAACCGACTCAGGAGAAATACAAAAGTTTTGTAAATAGTAATTTTTACATTAATACACTTTTTATAGGACCAACCGGACATTTTTTAATATCACCTTTAAAGATCAATTGGAGCTTTACGTACAGAACAAACGACCTCTGACGGGCCATTCCGAAATTTTGGCTTTCATAAATTTAAACGAAACAATTACCAGCCGTCCAGATATCGAGATAATTATTGCTGTGACAGCACCAACGCTTAACGACACGTGAGATCATCACTTCCTGATTGTGTCGGAACTGTTTGTTATTCGAATCACTTTGCAGTATTTCCCCTGATTTGGACGTTCTGCACGACATCCAGTTCGTAATTTGCTTAGTGAACCCCATCTCGAAAGGAACGCTGCGACTTCAGTCCAGAAGTCCTATTGACAGACCATTGATAAACCCAAACTATTTAAACGATCCGGAAGGTCAAGACCTGGCCACTCTTCTAAAAGGCCTCAAGTACGTGTTGCGACTGAACGAGACGAAAGCGTTCCGGGAGTTCCGAGCTTGGGTGGACCATCCTCCAGCAGAACCATGCGACGGGCAATTCGAACGATTCTCTGACGATTGGTGGTACTGCGCCATCAAAAATTTTGGCTCATCGGTGAGTCGCCATCTTTTTCGGAGAGAACAATTCATTTTGATAGAGTTGTTTGTTCCAGACTTATCATTCAATAGGCACGACGCGAATGGGAAACTCCACGGAATCATCAGTGGTGAACTCCAGGCTAAAAGTCCATGGAATTAACGGTCTGAGGGTTGTCGATGCTGGAGTGATGCCTGTAATGATTTCCGGGCATACGAACGCAGCTACGATAATGGTCGCAGAGAAAGCTGCCGATATGATAAAAGAAGATTACAACTTTGTTTAACTTATTATCAATTATACCTTTTATTGTTAATGTTAGTTTAAAAACAGAAGAAATATGCTTATTTCAATGCCAAAATATAAAATCTCCAAATCTGATTTTGCTTTCTGTAAATACTATATATCTCTACTGTGGTTGAACGTTCTTGTGGTTAATGGTTAATAAAATATTTTGCAACGAAGTATTTTTTGTTATCACAATGATTGTTTGTTTGTCTAAATCTGTGTCAAATTGAAAAACCACACCTGCAAAAAAACTGCTTGATCTTGTCCGGCTTCAATATGCTCCCATCAAACCCTTCCAAATTTTATCATGTTTCATACTTTTCCAGACAGCAAGACATCAAGTTTCATAATGAATTTGATTTGCCTGTGAACGTAACTAGATGATTCGGCTGCAGAAAATATCAGTTGAACAAAATGCTGTCAGCCACACTCGCAAATCTGATAATTTTTGGTAGATGAGATAACGGATTTACAATTTCGCAAAATTTAAATTTGACGGTATATAAGCGATTTTAAATAATTTTGATTCAACGTTACTGAAATAGTGATAATAGCTATGCACATAAAGGCGTGTTTCTTGATATTTTTTATATCTCCCATCTGCGCGAATTATGGCTTGGACGATTATTACAATATGATTGTCAATAATATTACTTACTGGCAACGATATGTTTTGCCGCAAGATAATAGCGAATTGGTCAACGTAACCGATTCTACACTTTACGGTAAGTTTCCACGAATATTTTACATTTTTTAATAATAATTTGTTCTCAACGATATTTTACAATTAGTGACAGAGCTTAAAGCAATAGCTCAATTGACCAAACAGTGCTAAATAATAAGCAGGTAAATAATGAATGCTTACCTAAATAAAATCGTTTTCAGAAATATTTCCTTTAAATTCTATGACGAGAATTTTTTATTAAATAGACTGCAGTTTGATCTATAATTTATTCCTTTACCAGAATTCGACCGAAAATATTCAGTGGGATTTATGAAAACGTATTTAACTACAGACCTTTCTTTTGAGTGCACAATAGGCTATCCTGGTAATATTTTTGTCACGCCGAAATCTTTATTGACTGACTTAAGGTGCGTAGCCTAGATTAGGACCCATTGTTAAAATTCCAAGTTTTACGTAAAAAAGATTACATGTATATTCCAAGAACGTTGACTTATATTTTGCAACGTGGTAATTTTTTATTTCTGAAATTAAAGAGAATCAAAAGGAATTAATTATTATTTATTTTTTCAAAGGGACTGATATGTTTCAATAATAGAAAATTGTCAGCATCAGGGTTTCAATAGATTAGAATTAATAAAATATTCTTTTTTTTTATAATTTTCTTTTTTTTGTATTATGCGTTTTCGTTATTAGATTCTTACTAAACATTTTAAATTTTGCTCCTATTTTAGTTCTTCATATATGAGTTTCAGTCGGACCCCGATAATGATAATTATGTATAGTTGAAACATGTAGCTTGTCTTCTTTTTAAAATTTCAACACAAAAAAAATTTGTGTTTAATTTGATTTATTTAACTCCATATATGGAAGTTGTTTAGATATTAAGGTATTACTAATTATCATTTTAGACGAATAAAGGTTTTAAGAATATAAACAGCTTTGAGTAATTTTATCTCCTGTATCCCGAAATAGCTGTGAAATAGATCGGGAGCCATAAAAGATAGACAAATAAATAAATAAAATAAATAAATAAAACCGCCTTTATTTTAAACTCGGCGCAGGTCAGCTGAGCTGTTATCTTAACCGAGAATATAACAAGACAATGCAAACTTCATTTATTATACCAATTCTATATAAAAAGACATGAAATAGGCAATACATCAAAAAAGGAAAACGACAAAAAACAATATTAAAAAAAGAGGACTGATTAACAATGTAGTTAGTTCCCCGTAAGAGATATTATTTTAAATGAAATACTTTTGAAATGTTGTTGGTAATATAAAGCTTGGTTCTTCTGATTTTTGTTGGTTTGTTTCTAATTGAATGTCAATTGAAAAAAAAAAACTTCATATGAACACATGTCCTAAACGTCTTAACATTTGAGATACAGGGTGGTAAAGTTTTCAAAAATATAATATATATTTTTAATATCTGTACTAACCCTATAGAGATTATAAATAAAATTTGCCATACTTGTATTATGTATGTGCCATAATTTTTTTGAAAAACGCGAGCGGCGGATGTACGAAATTTCACGTTTCTATTTTGGCAGACGTTCATGGTACGCCACTGATTAAATTACTTGATTGTTTTCAATCCGATGTACGGTTTTAGTAGAATAAAAACCTCTTCCCCCATAGTCATAACAATATCGTTAATATGAAACGATGAAGAGAATCATTATAACTTTTATTTCCTACTTAAGTAAATAAACTACGTAAACATAAATAAATAAAATAAATTTAAATAAGAGTCGTTTATTATTTATCTTGTTATTAGGTTATGTGTAGCTATTTTTTTTTGTTTTTGGCAAAAAAATTCTCGTCTTAACCAGTGCAGTGGCGACCCAATTAACCAAAATATTCATATATTCATAAACAGTAAGTGGCACGCCACTAATTCTCTGCCTGCTGCCATATTAACGACATTAAGCGAAAACCGTATATCCGATTAAAAAAAAATCAATAAAAACTTTATTTAGAAATGATTGGAGATTTGTAAGAACGATTTTTATTTTAAGAGAAATCAGTGGCGTACCATCAATGTCCGCAAAAATAGACATGTGAAATTGCATACGCCCACGACTTTAAAAAAAATTGTAGTACACTAAATAATCACTCTTGATACATGGTGCCAAATTGCATTAAAACATAGAACATGGTATTACAGATATTAAAAAAATGCATTTTATTCCTGAAAACTTTACCACTCAGAAGCTCAAAAATTAAGACGTTAGGACATATATTTATGTGAAGTTTTCTTTTTAAAATAGACTCAAAATCGTTCCCTCAATTTTTTAAAAAATCTAATCTAATCTACTTCTTTGCTTTTAATTTATTTCAAAGATTACAAATTTATGAAATATACAAACAAAAAAACTTTGGTTTTTTCAAAATATATTCGAAACTAGAACAGATAATTTTATTGCGTACTATTGGTGGTCATATTGCGTCGAATTCAATTCAATATATCCACTGCTGCTTGCACTTAATATCCAAAGCGAAGTATTTTTTGTGTCCTTAAATTATATTTTTTGGAAACTGCATAAAACACGGCTAACATATTTTCGATTTCAGATTATGGAACATACGATTTCATAATAGTCGGGGGAGGTTCGGCAGGGGCAGTTTTGGCGAATCGCCTGTCGGAAATAAACCAATGGAACGTCTTGCTGTTAGAGGCTGGTGGAAACGACAGCGATTTCAGTATTATTCCAGCCATGATGAACTATTTGTGGAACTCTGAAATGAACTGGGCATACTCCACCACTCCTCAGAGTAACCTGTGCCTAGGTACACAACCGATTGTTTGTCAATCTAAGATAAATAACCCATGAACTGATAATTGCAGGATTTGGCACTGGGAATCGTTGTCCACATCCTGCGGGAAAGGTAATAGGCGGTTCAAGCTCCATTAATGGTATGATATATAATAGAGGCAACCCTCTAAACTTCGATCGATGGGCAGAACTCGGCAATCCGGGCTGGTCTTATGAAGAAGTACTGCCGTACTTTAAAAAATCCGAGAATGTGGCGTTTGGACCGGGGAAGGACAGGTTCCACGGAGTCGGAGGTCCGTTGGCTGTTGACATCACTTCAAAGACACCTGAATTGGTATGGGTCGATTGTTTTTTATAATCACATAAGCGTCAAAGTCTGCATATGATGAAAAACTCACTTTGCAGCAGCCAGCACTTTTTGAAGCGTTCGCCGAACTAGGAGTACAAGAAATCGATTACAATGGTAAACGACAAATAGGCGTAGGTACAACTCAGTACACTCTGAATTATAACCAAAGAGCCAGCACCGCCAGAGCTTTCCTAGATCCCGTACTGCATCGGACTAACCTAGCGGTCAGCTTGCGGAGTTTCGTAACTAAACTCCACATTAACAAGTTTTCCAAGAGGGCGTACGGAGTGGAGTTTGTTAAAAGTGGAAAGCGTTTTATTAGTAAGGCAAGCAAAGAGGTTATTCTATCAGCTGGCGTTATCGGTTCCCCGCAGATTTTGATGTTATCTGGAATCGGACCAAAGGATCATTTGAAAGAATTGGGAATTAATGTCGTCAAAAACTTACCGGTTGGAAAATCACTTCAGGACCAGGTTATATATAGCGTCTTAAAGTTCAAGTGAGTCTCGCAAATATATTAGCTGTCGAGCAAACGAAGAAGCAAAGCATGCTATTTATAAAAGAAAAAGAAAAAAACGTCTTCTTTAAAATCTTTTGCTACTAGTATCTAATAAAGCATAACTCTAAATATTGGACCCAGTGGCAAGATTCGATTTCCTCCACCAAAGGCTCGATTATTCTTCCCCTGAGTAAGTCTTTGTCTTTTCCAGAACAAATCGGACCTTTTTCAACGTATCCTTCGAAGAGCAATTGAAACTTTACTTAAAAAACAAACGGCCGCTGACGGGTTTTTCTGATATCCTGGCTTTCGTCAACCCGGAAGAGACAACTCCCACACTGCCAGAAATCGAGATCATTTTGGGTGTAACAGCGCCGACATTGAACGACAGGTAAGATTTTCATTACTTTATGAATAGAAATTAGAAGAGATATTCTGCCTGAATAGGTACCGTGCGTTTAATTTATCTGGATAACATTTTAATTAGCTGTAACTTTCTTGTTGTTTGTTTTCCGCTTACAACGATGCAGCACACTTTATATTTTAGTCCACTCGTTTTTGACAAATCGGCGAAAATAGAAATTTTTTTTATGATTCCAAAGAGTGACCTGACTGACAAAAAAAATATGTTTATGTTTGACATAGTAGTAAACAACGTCCATGTCGTCATTGTTAAAATGGGTTTTCGTGAATTTACCACCAGAGAAAGGAGTGATATGCTTTAAGTATACTTTTTGAATATTTAAAGTGTAACCGCAGTTCGTCGTTAGTATATTAGACTTTATCCAGATCGCGAAGCTTCTTCGAAACAGATATTTCCAAGGCTGGCAGAGAAATTTCCAGAAAACGGTAACGTATCAAATGCTAAAAATGTTTTAAATGAAGTAGTATAAGCACAGCCAGTTTCCTCTATTACCAGAGTTTTGAAAGAATATAAATATAACGTATTTAAATTACGTAAAACTCCAAAAACTAAGTGCAGAACAATGTCAAAGGAGGATGAAGTTTTGTTTAGATTTTTTAAAAGGACATAATGAGAATAATAATTTTTTGAAAAACACGTTCGTTCGCTACAAGAAAGGGATGTAACGGACAAAATACCAATAATTGTCTTTAAATAATCCTAGACAAATACACCAAATAAAAACCCATGAGTACCAATCAATTAATGTATGATGTAGTGTCATAGATCGGCATATTTTGGGTTCGATATTAGACCACACACACTTAGAGCACCAAATAGAACAATATATAGATGATTTACCCCTAAATATATGAGCGGTGATTATATGGCAAACTGTGCCCCTCCTCGCAATGTTATGCAAGTTAAAACTCCTTGCAATAATGTCGTGGAACTTCGGCAATCAATCAGTTCAGAGACAATCGGCAAACTTTACTAAAAGCAAGACGTCATACAATTACAGTGTATCAGAAATGGGTTTAGGAAAATGGTTGTCACATACAGCAGAATAGTTAAAGAATTTTTTACTTTAGTGTGACTTGTCATTTTTGATGTTTTTGTTCTACTTTAATTTGTCAATTTGTTGCAGTCAGTCACGGCACTCTTTGAAATTAAATTATTACATAAAAATTTCCTATTTTTACCGATTTGTCAAAAACGAGTGGACTAAAATATAAAGTGTGTTACATCATTGTAATCGGAATAAGATATTCTATAAAATACATATATAATATATAGGGTGTTCCATTAAAAAATATTTGATGTAGGCTTGTATGTCAGAAAATTGATAGTATTTTGTTTTATACCTCTTACCCTACTACTTACTACTTACCCTACATTTTGTTTTTTTGTTTACCTTGATATCTCCAAAAATACAAAAAAATTGAAGCCAATTAACATGTTATCAAGATAAATTGCATAAATTTGTTGTGAATACATTCTTCCTTTTTGATATTAATAAAACTATGTCTATTTTCCTTATCATGAGAATCTACTCCGTAATTTTGGAGAGCAGTCTTCGGTTTGATAGCAGCAGTGCTATGACTAGGTTCGTGCTTAATTTCTTTTGAAAAAATATACGTGCGATCGCAACTTTAAAACAATATATAATTTTAATATAGAATATGTCGAGTGTTCAGCAAATAATTTTTTTGATGTGGAATAGCTGGTGGCTATTATATAACAATGATAAAATGATAATATTTAAGCAGGAGTAGGAGAAGGTGTTGTTCACTAAACTTCTGATTCTGTGACACAACTTGCTCGCCAGATGATTGAAAAATTTGTATAAAATTCCTTCGCAGATGTAATAGCAGGCAGAGAAAGATGGTAAACAGAGTACAGTTTTCCGCGTGCCGTAGACTTGATCGATTGTACGTAATGTTCAAATCACCTGAAATAAATTGTGACACAACCTACTGTCTCATGCTCATGCTCGTATTCTGGCATTACATTGATTTTTTTTCACTTGCTGTTTGAATGGAAATAATATTTACCTGCAGCTAGCAGCATGCGAAATATTTGACATAACGTGGCAACAGCGTACCGTTCTCATCTGCGTCTTTGATCAGTATTTCAGCATTTTTTGACCGTATATAAAATTTTAACATTAACCACTCTTTTCACGATTAAAACTGCTTTACGTTTTTCAGCATTTCGCCCGATCTAGAAGCCTTGCACGATATTAACATTATCGTATGCCTATTGAACCCTGTTTCGCAAGGGACATTGAGGTTGAAATCGAACAGCCCCATCGATCGACCACTGATCGATCCAAATTATTTAAGCGACCCCAACGGACGAGACGTTAATACTCTTTTGAAAGGGGTTAAGTATATACTTAGACTTAACGAAACTAAGACGTTTCAGGAGTATCGGGCTTGGGTCGAACACCCGCCAGCCGAGCCATGCGATGGGCAATTCGAGCAATTCTCTGACGATTGGTGGTACTGTGCCATCAAGTACTTCGGCTCTTCGGTTAGTAATCAATTGAAGAAGGGAGCAAGCATTTACCTATGATTAATTTTAGACATATCATTCCATAGGCACGACCCGTATGGGAAATTCTACCGATACTTCGGTAGTGGACTGTAGACTGCGAGTCCATGGAGTTGAGAACCTGAGGGTCGTGGACGCAGGAGTGATGCCGATCATGATTTCAGGGCACACGAACGCTCCTACAATAATGATCGCAGAAAAAGCCGCCGATTTTATAAAACAAGAGTACAAAATACATATTTCATGATCTGTGCACCCGAATGGTGCAATTTTTAAAAGCTTTACATTTGACATTCGAGGACGACACATTATTCCTTTTATTAAAATTGCGTTACTTATTAGTTTTACTTTCGACTCATATACCTTCTAGATTCCATAGATGTCACCTACATAATCTACTTTGACGATAGTCTAGAACTAATAAAATTTTAATCATTTTCTAGTGATTTTCTTCCAATAAACGTTTGTCAATTTCCAATACTCTAAATACTAAAAGCTGTAAAAATAAAGTGCTTCCCTGCGGTGTTATTCAAAAGTGGCAAGATAGTGACAGTGAAAAAATTTCGACGAACATTTTGAAGTGGATAGTCAAAAACATTTCCAAATTGGTACGAAAGGGCTGCTTTGAGTAACTCCAGTGCCAGTAACGACATCAAAGCTACTAATGAAGTCACACCCTCATGTTTTAGACCTTTATACTAAACGGAATCCTAAAAAGTCCATTTGCAAAAGGTATGTTAAAGTTCCTTCAGTAAGATTACCCTTTGGACGTTCGCCTACAACAGGGCAACTTTAAACGGAACGTTTTGGAAGAAGATCAAGGAAATGACTGCAAAGTATATTATTAATAGTCGGTACCCTTTGAAGATGTATGCAAAATGGGAAACATTTGACAAGTTTAAACAAAACTCAAACTCTATTGCAGCTATCACTGTAAACACAAAAAATTTGGATGAATTACTTGAATGGCATCGGTTTCGGGTGCCAAGGAGTTCTAATATTAGGTCCACTCTTGCTTCCGATTTTGACGATTGAACCTTGATATTTGTGGACGACTTTAAAATGTATTCCTCCCTTTCCGTATCTGTTTGCCGTTCCTTTGCAGAGTCTAGTCAATACACTGGTCTACTATAAGGACTTACACCCTAAAATAGGGAGATGAAAGATTCTGCGCTTCAGTCGAAAAGATGAAATTATTGGTTTTCAACATCGAATTTCAAATGTGATTCACGAATATCTTGCATAGACTAAGGGCGTGTATTTCGATCAAAAACTTACATTGCCGAATCACTTTCCGAGCACTGTGTATGCAAAATGGAACACATTTGACAAGTTTAAACAAAATTCAAACTCAAAAAATATGGACGAATTACTTGAATGGCACAATACTTGTAATTAGAAAAAAAAATTGAACAACTTAAGGCGTTTAAGAAAGTACACTATCCAACTCTCGTGATAAAACGTGAAAATTTCGCATTTCTTTCAACTATTGCAAAGCTGCGTTAAAAATAAAACTTAATTTCTTGTAATTTGTTGTGATCTTGGCCTTGGTTTTTACAATTACATTCATATTTACATGACGTGGATGTTTTGATATTACTATACAATTATTTGTAAATAAATTTGTTGCAATAAAGCCCTTGTTATTATATGTATTATGCCTTCTGAAAAAAACAATTCCCTCAAATTTAGGACATTTTGGTGATTTTCGAGTGGCCCTCATCCCAATCATCAAAGGATATTTTAAAAGCGATTCGAAGGGTGTGAGTTTAAAATCTCTTTTAAAAAAACCCCTTCAGGAAAATATATCTTTTTTCAATAATGATAAGCAGAAGACAATTTGATTGACATGCTAAAATTTTGTACGAAAGGTTAGTTGTCGGCCACTGGTTTAGAACTGATAAATTTTAGTCGACGAGATAACGCATTTAAAATTTGGCCAAAATTAAATTCATCAGTGTGCGTAGGCGATTTGCCGTCATCTCTGCAGTAGTGGTAGTGTAATGGACTCATCGTATTTCCTGCTATTTTTATTATCCACCACCTACGCGAATTATGGCTTTGACGAATATTATAATATGATCGTGGATAACATTACATACTCGCAGCAATATGTAGTGCCACAAGATAATAGCGAATTGGTCAATGTGACCGATTCTGTAATATATGGTAAGTCTGATTTCCATGATAATTACTTTATGAAGGTTTATCTGCAACGATATATGGTAGTCTCGAGAAAATAAGCTTTTATTACTTGCCCATTTTCCTCAAATATCTGGAGTAGTTTATATTTTGGAGAAGAGGGCCGCAAATATGTCAACTTAGATGAATTGCTAATTGCTAATGAGTTGTTTTCATTGCAGTAAATTAAATACGGCGTAATAATGTTTGCAATTTTATTAAATAGATAATACTTTAAAAATTGTCAAATCATTCGAGAGACATTTTGATTTTCTACCACCTTTTATCCCTTTACAGCACTGTGATTTTTTCAATAGTTCTCGCTTAATTGTTAATAAAAAATTAACAAGTGGCAGCTGCGAATGGAATTTGTACAAACAAATAATCTGGTATGTGGTATGTTTGTCAAATGGAAATCTCTATTGACTGGATTAAGATGCGTACGCCTAAATTATTCTCTATTGTTAAAACTCCGAATTTTATATAAAAGTGATTGCACAGATTCTTTAAATTATCTTAAACGTCTCGATAAACTTGTTTGGACACTCCAAGAACGTTGACCCTTACACATTAAAAAATGCAATTTTTTACAGATTCGTTTTAATAGTAATTTTGTAAGACGATACTAAGGTCATTATATTTATTTTCTTATAATATAAATACACAACTACAGAAAAATGTCACCCAAGAGGCGTCGGATGTAGAGGAGCACTGGAAACAGATCAGAACATCAGTAATCAACGCTGCACAAAGAGCCTTAGGCGAGAACACAACAAATGTTGCAGTGTCCAAGTGACGGAAACGTCCAAAGATTCAACGACCTCAGAGCGGAGGCAAAAAGAAAGATAAGAAGGAAAAAAAGAGAAGCTTACAACAAAACAATAGAGAATGTAGAAAAGGAAGCTGGGCTAACAAACAGCCGGAACTTTTTCAATCAAGTGAAAAGTATAAGGAAAGGTTACACACCAAAGACCAACATTTTAAGAAATGAAAACAACGAGCTCATAACGGATATAAAAGAAGTAATGCAAGCATGGAAACAATTCTTTGAAAACCTGTTAAACATAGGGAACACGAAGAAGGTATACCAAAGTGCGGAGGAGCACGTGCCAGAACCCACGCTAGAGGAGATTAAAAGGGCAATAAACCAATTAAAGAATAACAAGGCCCCGGGTGAGGACTCCATTACGGCGGAATGCATAAAATATGGAGGGGAACATCTAGATACTGCCATACTAGAGCTGTTGAAAAACATATGGAAAACAGAAGCCCTACCAAAGGAGTGGTCCCCATTCATAAGAAAGGAGACCGGATGGCCTGTAAAAACTATAGAGGAATAACCTTGCTAAATATAACATACAAGGTTCTGTCAAATGTACTAAGAGGACGCATATCCCCATACGCAGAAGACAACTTAGGGGACTACCAATGCGGGTTTCGACCCAAGAGATCAACAACAGATCAAATATTCACCATAAGACAGCTCCTAGAGAAAAGCTGGGAGTTTAACAGAGAGGTTCACCAACTGTTCGTAGATTTCCGCTAAGCATATGATAGCATCACCAGTGAAAGTGTCTGGCAAGCGTTGGAAGGCATAGGGGTACCAAAAAAGATCATAAGGCTAACCAAGATGTGCATAGAAAACTCTAAAGCCAAAGTTAGGGTAGGAAAGAACAACACCGAGGCTTTCTCCATTAACAATGGCCTAAAACAGGGCGATGGACTTTCACCATTGCTTTTCAACATAGTGCTAGACATGGCCATCAAAGAAGCGAATATTGGCTTGGAAATATTTACAAATAAGGGCCCAGAAATGATTTTGGCATATGCCGATGACATTGATACGGTAGGAAGCAGTACGATTAAAACAAAAGAAATGTTCATGAACATAGAGAAGGAGACCAAGAAGGTAGGACTCATGATCAACGAGGACAAGACCAAATATATGTGGGCCGGACGGAGAGCAGGAAGGGGCAGAATAGGACAGAACATAACCATGGACACCCACAATTTTGAATGCGTAAACCAATTTCAGTACCTAGGAGCAGTTATAACTTCGGATAACGATATCACCAGCGAAATAAAAGCAAGAATACAAAAGGGCAATAAATGTTTTTTCGCCTTGCAGAACCTGTTTAAGTCCCGACTGATATCTAGGAACTCAAAACTACGGATATATTCGGCAGTAATCAAGCCAATCGTAATGTATGGCTCGGAAACATGGACAATGACAAAGCAGAACGAACTAGTGTTAAGACGCTTTGAACGAAGGATGTTGCGGAAAATCTTTGGACCAACAATAGATGAGAGAACGGGTCAATATCGAATAAGAACGAATGCGGAGCTTAACGACATGTACAAAAGACCGAGTTTAGTAAACGAAATAAAAGCACAAAGGCTCAGGTGGGCTGGACACGTGCAGAGATCGCCGAATGAACGTCTTGTAAAGAGGATATGGGAAGAAAACCCAGCAGGAAAGAGACCCTTAGGAAGACCAAGGCTCAGATGGAGGGACAATATCGAAGATGATGTAAAAATCTTGGGAGTACGGAACTGGAAGGAGGTTGTGTTGGACAGGGACAGATGGAGACGAGTCGTAGATGCAGCTAAGACCCACGAAGGGTTGTGACGCTACGGAAAAAAAAATATAAATATAAAATAAACTTAACAATTTTGTTCTATTTCCTACTCTACGCACGTCCGCAATCATCAGTGCATTCGCGCTTTTAGCGACGGTCGTAAAAAAATCTAGGGAGCAAAACGCAATGTTTCCTTTAAAAATCTCATTGTATAAAATACCATTAAGCTACTACTTCTATACACAGTTTGGTGGTGAATGCTTTGAGAAACTACCAAAAGTAGAAAAAATGATTTTTTTTAGTTTTTGATTTGATATTCTGAAGAAAATAAATAAATAAAAATGTCTGTATTTAGTTAAATGGTAGTTCTGAAAATATTACTACTTAATGAGTGCTGAGACTGCCATTATACAAGCACCTCAATGTAAAGAAACCCCATAATACTACTAAAAATATATAACTAATTAACTGGAAGGACAAGGCTAAAAGTTTCGGAGAAACATAAATAATTGGAATAGCATTATGGAAAATTTAGAGTTCTAGTGCAAGCTTGGTTCAAATGATGGCTTTTTAGTTTTAATTGAAGACGCTGTGTAACATATTTTTTGCAAGATATTCAGGACACCCACAGAGTTGCCAAACGTAAACGCTTAACGTAAGTCGGTTGCAAAATGGTCATATTTGAGCACACCATAGACAAGTCTAAGACAAGTAACTTTTTCTAATTGCTTTCAACAAAACGGACCAAAAAATTATGTCACAGTAAGCAATATGAGATAAAATAAATAACATGTTAGTAATAGTTTAGAACCAGTTTCCAAGGTTCCAAGTAAAGAAACAAGAATCGAATATCTCATGTCAAAAATAAATCTACACAATCAGTCACGCAGTATTGTTCAAATGTACTATAAACAGGAGGACATTATCTCTATTAGCACCAAATAAAATGGATTGACTTTCCTCCCATTAAGTAACAATCTATGTGCTTTGGAGACGTTTGATATAAGTCCCAAGTCTTCATTAATCTTATTCACCACTTTGTGTACAGTATTGGTAGGAAACGAATAATAAATATGAGTATAGTCGGCGTATTGATGAAAAAATCAAGTGTTTATCATCTAGAAGATTATTTCAAGAACTTTTGAAAATATTGGAAGGATGCTGACAGTGTGAAATTGAGTAAGATTTGAAGCATTAGGAACGGGAACAACATTCGCGATCTCCATGACATCAGGGAATGTATTTTGTCAGACGTCTTTTTACATCGCCTACAGAATTAGTTTTGTTGTTGTTGAAAAATGTCATCTAGAAGTCTTTACCAGCTTTATAGCAAATACCACTATTTAGGTTCTCTAGTTTACAAAAATACAAACACCTAACAGTTAGGGGAACAAGCGAGTTTGAGTGAGTGCGCTTTACCAGGGAAGCAAAACCTCTTAAGATTTTGCATCATTACAAAATTCATCTTCCAAGGTCTTTTGAACTCATGTCATCTCCTTCCGCTTATTGTTTGAAAAAAAAAAACTTTCTAAAAATAACGATGCCACCTTTCGATTTCAGATTATGGAACATACGACTTCATAATAGTTGGGGGAGGTTCGGCAGGGGCAGTTTTGGCGAGTCGCCTGTCGGAAATAAACCAATGGAACGTCTTGCTGTTAGAGGCTGGTGGAAATGACAGCGATTTCAGTATTATTCCGGCAATGTGGAATTATTTATGGAATTCTGACATGAACTGGGCCTTTTCCACCACTCCTCAGACTAGCCTGTGTCTAGGTACAACACCGCTAGCTCCTCGTACTGAGATATCTAACTGACGAAACGATGATTCCAGGATATGGCACGGGGAATCGTTGCCTGCATCATGCTGGAAAAGTAATTGGCGGTTCCAGTTCCATTAATGCTCTGATATATAATAGAGGTAACGCTTTAAACTTCGATCAATGGGCGGAACTCGGCAATCCGGGATGGTCTTACGAAGAAGTACTGCCCTACTTTAAAAAATCCGAAAACGCGGCGGCTGGAGTGGGGGAGGACGGTTTCCACGGAGTTGGAGGTCCATTGTCCGTTGATTACACGTCCGAGACACCTGAATTGGTATGTTATCCAAAGTTATAATTTGATGCGGAAATTTTAGATGAAAAAAACACTTTGCAGCTACCGGCGCTCTTTGAAGCGTTTGCTGAACTAGGAGTTCACAACATTGACTACAACGGGAAACGACAGCTAGGCGTAGGTTCGACCCAGTTCACTATAAATTATAATAAAAGGGCCAGCACTGCCAGAGCATTCCTAGATCCCGTATTGCGTAGGGCTAACCTAGCAGTCAGCCTGCGGAGTTTCGTAACAAAAATCCTGATCAACGACTTTTCCAAGAGCGCGTACGGCGTGGAGTTTGTTAAAGGTGGAAAGCGTTTTATCAGTAAGGCAAGGAAAGAGGTGATTCTATCGGCTGGCGTGATGAGTTCGCCGCAAATTCTGATGTTATCTGGGATCGGACCAAAGGATCATTTGAATGAATTGGGAATTAATGTCGTGAAAAGCTTGCCCGTCGGAATAGGACTTCAGGATCAAGTTATGTACACCGTTTTAAAATTCAAGTAAGGCTCGATGTTGGCTTTGCCACTGTAGTTTCCATTGCTCGAGTAAATGGTGGAGGGATTCGAATTTGTAGAGTAAATAAAAAGAATAAAAGTTCTTGGAAAAGTATTGTTTTTGGTTTGATCTTTTTTTTTTCACTCAGTCCTAGTGACAGAAGCTAACTAAGTCAAATATTAGGGCTCAGTAGAAACGTCTAAAGATTTGATCCAGCGATGAAACTAACCAAAACTCCCAAATTTTGCAGATTACTTTTTCAAATTCGTTGAAATTCCTTTCTGTTGCCATTTTTTCCCAGAACAAACAGGACATATTTTAACGTATCCTTCAAGGAGCAATTGCAACTTTACTTACAAAACAAACGACCGCTGACAGCAACAGGACTAACTGATATCCTGGCTTTCGTTAATCCAGAAGAGACAACTCCTACTCTGCCAGAAATCGAGATCATGATGGGCGTAACAGCACCGACATTGAATGACAGGTAAGATTATGATGAATATTTGAGGGAAGCAATATTTAAGTCGAGAAAAATATTTATTAAGATCCTCGTCATGGATCACATTAATAAAATAATATTATATTTAAGTAGTTAAACTAAATAAAATATGAGAGAAAGATACGTGCATTCACAAATCAATGAAAAAGAAGATTAAGTTATAAATTAAACAGACGAATGGAGGCAATGCCATAGGAATAATTCAATCCTCAAACCCACTGCATATTGAGCATGTTATGAATGAATAACGAATTTAAATATTTTTGGGTAGACTGTACAGTAAAATTAGACTTATTAGAATAAAAAATTTATAAGATTTTAAGAAAATGTTACTGAACTACGAAACCAAATACAAATCCGAAATAAACCGATAGTGATATAAAGAACTCATTTTGGGGGTGCCCTGTATAAGGCAAGTGTAAATTTCCCAGGTAATTTTCTTTCCCAAAAAAGGCAGAACAAGTATGGCAGCCACTTAAAGCAAGAACAAATTAAAAAAATGCCAAGTCATTTCCAAGTCCAAGTCGTCGAAAATTTACTCCCTTTCCTCAATATTTCCTTCCAATATTGAGTATAACTGATTAAAATCCTCATATGTTCATCATTTGGGTAAAACGATCTTTATTGGAAAGATTAATCAACAAATTCTTATGCGAATCACTAATTGGGGTGTCTTCCTCGGAAATTATTTCTGCTTGTAGCAGTTTTAACAAACCCCTTCTTTTTGTGGCTGCAAAAATAGATATCGACAGAGTTGTTTAAATGCCGTCGGTGTCGTCGATTAATTCGTGCCTTGAGGAGAAACTTGAACTCGAATGTACTTCAAGGGTGGTGTGAAAATGAGTTTAAAGTACAAAATCACAGCTATAAAAAGATCATTTGTATCAGTTGTGTTCTTTTTTTGCTCACTCTTTTAGAACTTATATGACAATTTTATGTAGAATTTAATGGAGAAGATAGAAAGTTACGGTTAAGCAGCAAAACCCTGAAAAGCGCCATGAGGACACTTTTGAGGGTGGTTTGTTGAGCAAAAGGATATGAAGCTCCCACTGGGTTCATCGAAGACTATAGAATCAATATAGAGAAATAATATTAATATTAATTGGACTAAAATAGGAAAGGACGGGTGTTTCATAAAGCGGTTTACGAGTTTCTTTAAATAAATGTCTGTTGCTATAGAGGAATTTCACTCTGCTGTTAGTTTGTAGACTAGCTCTATGAGGCGCATGTTATTGTCTACCAATAATCCTAGAATTTTGCATGAGTTGAAAAATGGCAAAACATGTATAGGTGTTACTTAATAAGTAGACCTTTTCGTAGAACAAGCTTACTTAAAATAATATTTACCTAATTTTTTTTATTTTGAAATAAGAATCTGAAATGAAAAATTTACAATTTCCGTCTCGTACAAATATTTTTTTAGACATTCATTTCTGTTTAAAATTCCAATGTTGCTAGATTCTAAGGAACTTAATTTTAGAAAAGAACTTTTAATAAATAGGATATTCACTCTGTATATGCCTAAAATTAGTTTACTTCTACGGAAAATTGTATTACATTTCAGTATTTCACCAGATCTAGAAGTTCTACACGACATTAACGTTGTCGTATGTCTACTAAACCCGATCTCGCAAGGAACGTTGAGGTTGCAATCGAACAGCCCCATCGATCGACCATTGGTCGATCCAAATTATTTAAACGATCCAAATGGACGAGACATTTCCACTCTGTTGAAAGGGATGAAATACATATTTAAACTTAACGAAACCAAGACGTTTCAGGAGTACCGAGCTTGGGTTGAACACCCACCAGCCGAACCTTGCGATGGACAATTTGAGAGATACTCCGACGATTGGTGGTACTGCGCCATCAAGAACTTCGGATCTGCAGTTAGTGGAGTGTTAACGTGTCTAGTATACAGTACCCCTTTTTGATTCATTTCAGACGTACCATTCGATGGGAACGACCCGTATGGGAAATTCTACAAATTCTTCAGTGGTGGACTCTAGACTCAAAGTCCACGGCATTAAAAGCCTGAGAGTTGTGGATGCGGGAATAATGCCGGTTATTGTATCTGGGCACACGAACGCACCTACAATAATGATCGCAGAAAAAACGGCCGATTTGATAAAACAAGATTACGGGTTACCCACTTCATGACCTGTCATAGATGATTGATTGTAAATCATTCGTCAGTGGAGAAAATAAATAAACAATTAAAAAAAAAACGTTACTTTTTTTCACTCGACAAAGGGCAGCTGGGCTGCTAACTCAACCGAGCAAAAAAAATTCCATAAATTAACTTATAATAAGGCAAATTTTACAACAAATATCATAAATAACTAAGTAAATAAGCTAACAATAACAAAGTAATACTGAACTGCAAAAAAAATAGAACAATATTTAAAACAATAAAATTGACACGGCTAATCTACATTAACAGTTTCTTTTTAAAATGTTGTTTAAAAGACGGTATCGATGAGTTTCCGAATAGGCTTAGCTCGTGGTATCGGTTTAGCAACTTAGCGGGCACACAAGAAAATGAATTGAATAGACATAGCTTTCTGCATTTTCGGTATCTCATAAATATTGTTGAAACGTATACGACGATTACCACCAGTACTCCGGGTCGTAATTCCGTCAAATATTCCGTGTATCCAGTTTTGAGCATTGCGCTAACTTAAGTTTTTGTCTACCGGCGACGTTAAGCCAACGTAATTCTTTCAGCTTTTCAAAAACCTTTTTGCATAATTTGAAAAACATGTTGATTGAAATACCAGGGTTTACCAGCCCAAACTTTAAAAGGTTCGAAGTAAATAATGGCCGACTTTTCTAAACTTCCATTTAACTTTTCTATAACTTCAACAGCCTAAGATCTTGGGAAACTTGCATATAATTTCTGTGTAATCAGCGTACTGAGGTATGTTACACTGCTCAATGTAAAAAGGAACAAAGGTCTGTCGATTCTCCTTTATCAGCAACCAGCAGAACATCATCGAGAATTAAAAAGAGATAATCCACCATTTAGGGTCCAGGCTACGTCATCATTACCTACCAATGCCAACTCAAATTCTTTATTTGAACACGTTGCACTTAAATAACACATAAAACTTTAATTAAGTTTGGATTTCTAAGGCATCTCATTGGAGTTCTTTGATATTTTGTACAGATTTAAATGATCAAGAGTGCGTCATATTTTTTTAAGCCTCCGTGAGATTAGTGAAGTCAATATAGGCTTATTTTATTGTCGTACCGCAAAAGGAAATAAGTTTCTAATTTCTTTATAAGCTTCCTAATCTTGTAAATTTTTGGATTGTTTATATTTAGAAAGAAGTCTGTTGGGATGATACTTCATTAGTTTTAAAGTATCTGTAAATTGTTGATTTAGGTTTCGTTAACCGTTTAGGCGCAAATAGGAACAAAGGAATCAAAAGGCATTACCCTCGTCACTTTTACCTCATAAAAAACCTAATCTCAGTCCATATCGAGTAGGTTAGCATTGAAGCGTTCTCTACCAAGACGCTTTAGACTTACTTAGGCTTACTTAACGAACCTTTCTGGTATTTGTGGAATTTTTAAATTAATTAAAAGACCAATATTAGACAAAATGATAATGTCAATCAAGCTGGCTTTAGCTTTTGAACATCCTGTGAGATTTAGGAAGATCTGTTCAAAATCGAAAGTGTAGAGCAAGTTAATTTTTCAGAGAAACAGACAGCGAAGCAGAAGAACCAGCGAGTTTTAGAACAGGAAGATCTACGGTTGACCATCTCTTCTGTGTCAACCAAGTTATTGAGAAAATGTCAGTCTTTGGTCGGGAAATACATCTCCTGGTTGTGAATACTCAAGGCAGAAAAACTATTGCTATGCTAAATAGCATCTTGTGGGACCAAAAAATCACAAAACGCAACAAGCATTTATTACATAATTCCATTATAAAAAGCATAGTCACATATAGTTGTGAAGTTTGGCAACTCAAAGAAAAGACCGTGAGAACACTATGGGCAATAGATACGCATTTCTGGAGGAGAGCGGCAGGAAGATCGAGACACGAAAAACCCCCAAGCGAAACAATGCGCGCAATCATGAGAGTGAGCCACGTAATAACGGACGGAATAAAAACAAAACAACTAAGGTGGTATGGACATGTTCAAAGGATGGAAGAGCGGCGACTCCCAAAACAAGTACTCACTTGGATGGCAGCGGGAAGAAGGAAGAGAGGAAGAGCAGGAAGGAGTTGGAGAGAAGGCATTGATAGCGAGATGAGAGAGAGAGAGGACTGGAGGAAGACCTGTGGAATGACAGGGAGTAATGGAGACTGAGAATAACTTCCACAGGCCACAGTAATACTATTTACGAATTTTCTGGATTCCTCCTGCGTCGGTTGTTGTTTAGTCTTACAAATGTTTCGCCAATCTTCCTGTTGGCTTCTGCAGAGCTTGAGTTTCAGTCAAGCTCTAAAGAAACCAACAGGATGATTGGCGAAACGTTAGCAAGTTTTACTCAACAAAAACCGACGTAGGAGGAGTCCAGAAGTTTTATAAAAAGTATTACAGCAGCCTGTGGAAGTTTCTTTGAAAAATTAAAAAAGTATCAAGCAAGTTGTCAAATTCATCAGTAACATTGCAGTTCTTTAAAAGGTTTATATCCATGTCAATCATTACAACAAGCTCGTCCGCTAATAGCACAATACCTGTTAGCTTTATTAAAATTGCGTTAATTGTGAGCTGTAAAATTTTGCTGAGCTGGAGCTTGGTGATTTAGGTTAGAGATAATTTCAAAATAACGAAGTTCTATGTAATTTTAAAAGCATTTTATAAACATAATCACATAAGATTAGACACTCAAACTCCAAGTGGTACTGGTAAGTGATAGCTTTTTCTTTTAATGACTGTCTCATAAAAGTGATATTACTCTAAAAACATACAAAAAAATGTACTTAGTCTGCTGAGAGCTAAGAAAAATAAAATTCTGATAAAATTAGGATCGTTAGATAAGAATGAAATAATTTTATTTAAAGGCAAGTTCGGGTGCTTAGTTGCTTAGAATATCGAAAAAACTACCAGGTCAGCATGATCTCCAGGTTGGGATTTTTGGTGTACTTAATGCGGCTGGTAGCCGGAGACTTCGGCGACTATGCCAGCTTTGATGATTATTACGAGATGGTTGTGGATAATATTACCTATTCGCAGAATTATACCGTGCCGAGGAACAATAGCGAATTACTTAATATCACCGATACGGTAATCCACGGTAAGTAACAATTTTACAATTTTTTCATTTCTTAAAATTACAAATTGTGCGGCAATAGCCACATTATTTTTCCATATACAATGCCAAGCGACTAAGAAAGTCATAGATATGGTTCATATCAGCCTCAATAAATAACCAGAAGAATTTGCATCGCCCATTTTATATTTATATATTCAGGGTAGGCTTGTATATTTCAATAAGAATTTATTTTACCAAGAAATAAAAATAGCCGCTTTTATACAGCGAATTTAATAAGTATCTCACACTCCATTCGAATACCCTGCATATTTCTTCCATTTATGAACTTCACAATAGATTCCTTCAGGTCTCCCGATACTTAATGCCAAGAATTTATCAACAAATTATATACTTATATATTATATAGAGAGATGCAAAAGTGATGGACAATTTATTTCTATGTGCATTTCCATGCCTATGTTCACTGGTTTTCTTGCTATTTCGTATTTTCTATCAAAATTCAACTCAGTCAAACAGTATAGTTTGTTACTTTAAAAGAGTTAAAGCCATTGCATTTTCCACTACATTGGTATAAAAGAACTATCATGTTATTTGTTTTAAAAAACGGTTGAAAATATGTATGACTTATCTAAAAGAAATAAAAAACTTTGAAAATCATATCATCTATAATCAAATTTTGGACATTCTGTATACGTACCATACACAATATGATCGAATAATTTTAATTTTGGGTTGAAAAATATTTTGTTATCCATTTCGCGTTTTGGAATTTATTGTAATGATTGCGAAGGAAGATATATTTGTTGCTGTTCAGGGAAATTATTAAAAAGGCTATTAGCTAGACGATTACCTTGACATTGTCATTCCTACATACTCAATACCACCAATAACAGTTTTTTAATAAATCGATATCTGCTTTGAAAATTGCCCCAATCAGTTTTTAACAAATATATTTTCAAGGGCAAAATATTTCCTCGAGTGTTGTTACGAAATTTGAGATAAACTTATCACTTACCTCATCACTGTTAAATCTGCAATCTGCGCGTCTGGTAATTAAACCGAAGTAAAATTATGAATATTAATTCAAAAATAGATACAAAAAATTAGTTCTTTTTTATATATTTAAATTTTCTTATATGAATCTGATCTTTTAGTTATGCAGATTTAATTTGATTCTTAATAATAATAATCATCATCGATAAGATAATTATTTTCAATTCAATATTTTATAAATTAAAATATTTTGAAGGTTACGGTGTTGTCGTGTCTATACGAACCTGACCGCGTTTTTTTGATTTCGGTAAATTTGAGTAATTAGTAATTTTTCCTTCCTTCCTTCAACACAAAACCAAACTTTAAAACATTACTTTTAAAATGAGGGGCCTGAAAAATATTTTGTTAATTGATGAGCTGAACTATTTAACACATAAAGTGCAAAAGCAATCGTCCTTCATAAAAAAAAAAGATTTTTAAAGTGGTAAACTCGAAATTTTATGGTACTTGCTAAAATTCAATCAATGTAATTCGATATGATAAAAACAAATATTATAAATAAAAGACCAACTTTTAGTTCCACGCTGTTTGATTTATTTCAATTTTCACAATTTTAATTAGACCATTGGCAATTAATATGACAATACTCGAGGTACTCTGACTGCAATTATCCAAATAATCTTCCAACGGTATAGTAGGAAGTATGAGGGACGGATTTTTAATTTCAACTTGTAACAAATATGTGTTTGTACCTGGTAGGGAAGGATAGGGCACTTAATATTCTTCGCAGATAACAGTTTGAAATAAATTATGGCGATGCGGATTCCGTTAATTGAAGGTACCTTTGTCTGACAGTTTTTACTGGAATCAACCCATCCCTTGAATATAATATAGTGTGCTAAATTATACACCTATTATCGGATCTCTATTTTTAATTTCCTGGATAGTAATTAAAAGTGCGCAATCATTTTAATTCCATTACAATTCGTTTTTTTTTACTTTGAGGTATTTATGAGTAAATTTGTAAACGTATAATTACTGCAACGCACAAATACCTTAACCTCACGGCGACCTCATTGCTATTCGTTCCACCTTAACCTCCCAACTTACCTAACTTTACCTTCCTTACGTCCCCTGTCCTTCCCACACTACCACAGCACAGACCCTTGACATGCATCGACAACGAAAATTGATAGACCACTTAACTGCCGGGTCTCTATGGAGGGCTGATTATTATATTGGTTTCATTTTCTTTTTCTTTTAAATTCTGTTGCAGCGTACCCAAAGCATCCGCGCTTTGATCATAATGTTATATATTAAGGCGATTCGAATTACCGCCTTTAAGTAATCGTAGGAATTATGCATTAGTTACATTTTTATGTAATTTGTCTTCCCATAACAGGTTTTCTCGTTGCTTCGAATGCAGTCGAAACATCTCCAATTTTCCACCTACCAACTCCCCCCACAAACTTTTTGGCTAGAATTCCATTCTTTCCATCGATGAATATTTTTAATTGTATTTGTACTGATACATCAATCAATTGCGGTTCAGGTGATTATTTTCAGCACTGTTTTTTTTGGTTCTGTTTTGTTTTTTTTTCATTAAAAAAAATTTCTTGCTTTTTATAAAACTGGATTTTTCCTGCGGCGGGTTTTGCTTAGTCGAAATTGCTGACGTTTTGCCATCCTCTTGGCTTCTTCGGAGCTTGACTGAAACTGGCTCGTATTTTACTCTGTACCTGCTTATATATTGTTTGAGAGGGGCGCTAATGAGGGTAGCAATATGTTCTACATACATCGAAACCCTTTACACACTTGTTATAGATTATGGAACTTACGACTTCATAATAGTTGGAGGTGGTTCAGCTGGGGCAGTTTTAGCAAGTCGCCTTTCAGAAATTAACGAGTGGAACGTTCTATTATTGGAGGCCGGAGGTGATGACAACGACTTCAACATAATTCCAGGAATGATAAATTATTTACCTACTTCTGACATGAACTGGGGACATTTAACTACTTCACAGGACAAGGTGTGCCAAGGTAACTCCAACATTTCGAAAAATGTATTGAATTAGAAATAGCATCGCTCTAGGATATGGAACTGGCAATCGCTGCAGGCATCACGCAGGAAAGGTGATCGGTGGATCAAGCTCCATTAATGGATTGTTTTATACCAGAGGTAACCCGTTAAATTTCGACCAATGGGCGGAATTGGGAAATCCGGGATGGTCTTACGAAGAAGTACTGCCCTACTTTAAAAAGTCTGAAAACGTCGGGTTTGAAGTCGATGATGAAGATTACCATGGCCGGGATGGTCCCTTGGCCGTCAATGTTACTGACCAGACGCCTGGATTAGTGAGTTTCAAAAATTAGTGTATTCGAAAAGATATTTTGCATAATAATTTCAGGACGAACTTTTCTTCGAGGCGTTCGCTGAACTTGGAGTAGAAAAAGTCGACTACAATGGAAAACAACAGCTAGGAGTCTCGAAAGTACAGTACACCCTAAACAATAACCAGAGAGCGAGCACTGCTAGAGCGTTCCTAGACCCTGTACTGGAGCGAACTAACCTAGCGGTCAGTTTGCGTAGTTTCGTCACTAAGCTATACGTCGACAGTTCTACTAAAACGGCGTACGGAGTGGAGTTTGTGAAAAATGGAAAGCGTTTCGTTAGCACTGCAACGAAAGAAGTGATTCTCTCAGCTGGCGTGATCGGTTCGCCGCAGATTTTGATGTTGTCCGGAATAGGACCGAGCGATCATTTAAATGATTTGGGCATTGAAGTGGTCGAAGATTTACCAGTAGGGAATACTTTCCAGGACCAGGTTACATATTTCAGTTTCACATTCAGGTAGCATACAACCTAACAACAACATGTCCCATGGTGTTGAATGTTTTCATATTTTTTATATAGAACCAACCACACATTTTACAATATATCGCTGAGGGAGCAACTAAAACTCTACCTCGATAATCAACGACCCTTAACAGCAGTCTCTGATATCGTGGCTTTCATAAATCCCGATGAAACGACTTCCTCTCTCCCAGAGATCGAAATCTACACCGTTGTGACTTCGCCTACATTGAATACCAAGTAAAAATATCAAATTTTCTATTGTTCCCACTTTATTAAGCGATAATGTAATGTTACAGTCTTTCACAAGATCCTGACATAGTACACGACATCACAGTTTTCGTATGCTTACTGAACCCGATCTCCAAAGGAACGCTGCGGCTGCGATCTAACGATCCCATCGACAGACCATTGATCGATCCAAACTACCTAGGCGACCCTCAAGGACAAGACGTCGAAACCTATTTGAAAGGTTTCAAATATGTTCAACGGCTGAACGAAACAAAAGCCTTTCGAGACTTCCAAGCTTGGATAGATCATCCTCCAGCCGAACCGTGCGATGGACAGTTCGAACGGTTCTCTGACGATTGGTGGTACTGCGCGATTAAAAACTTCGCCGCCGCAGTAAGTGATCACTTGATATGATATTGGAATAGACCGTCCTGATTTCAGACGTACCATTCGGTGGGAACAACACGCATGGGGAATTCTACCGTTGATTCAGTGGTGGATGCTAAGTTAAAGGTCCACGGTATTGGAGGATTGAGGGTTGTCGATGCTGGAGTGATGCCGGTTATGATATCGGGACACACGAACGCTCCTACAATTATGGTAGCAGAAAAAGCGGCCGATTTAATTAAACAGGATTATAACGTCTAAGTCATTTATATATTTTTGTTGAATAATTTTGGTCTAGCTTCTGCATTAAAGAAGTTTATGAAAAATGCTGTGTTAAATTGCTCCCTTAAGAAGCTTCGCTATCTATGAAGGTTAAATTTTGCAATTATTGATTGTCGATATGATATGGAATTTGCAAAGACGAATATCTCGCCGCGAGATGTCGATTCTGAATAAGGCTACGCTGATAGAAATCCTGACAGGGCAGTGCCATGTAAAAAAACATTGGAAGCGTTTTCGAAGACGTCATTTGTAGGCTGTGGAAACTGCACTATACTACTATATATACTATATACTACTACTATATACTATATAAGCTGAACTATTATCCTAACATCCCTTGTCATTTGGCGATAGTATTCAAACTCTCCATGAAAGAAGTAGGTATAACCCTCTACCTCTAAAGGGACCTCAAAAAAGACAGGGACAATCATAAGAACCTTGGGTTTCGAGAGTGTCAATGAAATGAAATGCTATTTACTTTTTACTGGATTAAATGTTTTATATTTATTTTGTTGGTTAACAGAAAACGTCTTCCAAATTTAAACAACAAACGTAATTTTGTAAGCTAAAAATAACTTCGAAAAAGATTTTTTTTCAAACTTATGGGTGGACGTGCGGTTCGTTTCCCATTGGGAAAATATTGGTAGAAGGTTGGGGACAGAAGCGTTAATCGCGAGACCTAATTTTGAAAATGTCGCCATATTTGGCGAAAATATAATCGCTCTCCAAATGGAGAGTACTAAAGACGTATATGGTAAGCCTATCTAAACCGGATTTTGCATGTGGACATATCCAAGACTCTCATATACGACTTTTTTACTGCTAAAAGCTAAATACGGTGACAAAGCCAAAGCCAAAGCTGCCTTTATCTTTTCAGCATCTTGTGAGATTTAGGACGATCTGTTCAAAATCAAAAGTAAAGTTAATTTTTCAGAGAAACAGACAGCGAACTAGAAGAACAAGCGGGTTTTGGAACAGGGAGATGTAGTGTTGACCTTCTCTTCTGTGTCACCCAAATTATTGAGAAAATGCCACCCTTTTTCGGAAAATACATGGATTTAAAGAAAGCGTACGATGGCATACCATTATCAAAACTATGGCAGGCACTAGATCGAACAAATCTAAACGCCAACCTAATAAAATCTGTATCTTACATTAAAGTCAAAGTCAACAATTGGCCCAAGACAACGACGATATAGAATACATGACTCGAAAGCTAATTGAAGAGTACAAGAAATGGGGCTAGAACCGAACATCTCAAAGACGAAGAACTTGACCTAGAAAACGGACGAGTCATGAAATCTTACCAAAGCTACAAATACCTGGGAATGAATATATCAGACGGTCGAACCCTAGACTGCACAATCAGAGACCGGAATACTCAAGGCAGAAAAACTATTGCTATGCTAAATAGCATCCTGTGGGACCAAAAAATCACAAGACGCAATAAGCATTCATTATATAATTCCATTATAAAAAACATAGTCACATATAGTTGTGAAGTTTGGCAACTCAAAGAAAAGACCGTGAGAACACTATAAGCAACAGAGACGGATTTCTGGAGGAGAGCGGCAGGAAAATCGAGACTCGAAAAAACCCTAAACAAAACAATTCGCTCAATCATGAGAGTGAGCCACACAATAACAGACGAAATAAGAACAAAACAGCTAGGTGGTATGGAATAGTGGCGACTCCCAAAACAAGTACTCACTTGGAAAGCAGCGGGAAGAACGAAGAGAGGAAGAGCAAGAAGGAGTTGGAGAGAAGGCATTGATAGCGATATGAGAGAGAGAGAGAGAGAGAGAGAGGACTGTGGAAATGGCTTTTGCAGAGTTTGAGTTTCAGTCAAGCTCTGAAGAAGCCAACAGGATGATTGGCGAAACGTTAGTAAGTTCTACTCAACAAAAACCGATGCAGGATGAGTCCAGAAGTTTTATAAAAAGTATTACAGTAGCCTGTGGAAGTTTCTTTGAAAAATTAAAAAAGTATCAAGCAAGTTGTCAAACTCATCCGTGTATTTTTACTTTGTTAAATTGCTTCAGTGCCAGAGCTGGATGTTGTACCATACGGATTTTGTCAACTTAACGGCGATTTAGGTTAGAGATAATTTCAAAATAACGAAGTTCTATGTAATTTTAAAAGTGTTTTAAGAACATAATTACATAATATTAGACACTCAAACTTCAAGTGGTACTGGTAAGTTTTTTCCTTTAATGACTGTCTCATAACAGTGATACCACTCTAAAAACATACAAAAAAATGTACTTAGTCTGCTGAGACCTAAGAAAAATAAAATTCTGATAAAATTAGGATCGTGAGATAAGAGTGAAATATTTTGATTTAAAGGCAAGTTCGGTTACTTAGTTGCTTAGAATATCGAAAAAACCACCAGGTTAGCATGATCTCCAGGTTAGGATTTTTGGTGTACTTAATGCGGCTGGTAGCCGCAGACTTCGGCGACTATGCCAGCTTTGATGATTATTACGAGATGGTTGTGGATAATATTACCTATTCGCAGAATTATACCGTGCCGAGGGACAATAGCGAATTACTTAATATCACCGATACGGTAATCCACGGTAAGTAACAATTTTACAATTTTTTCATTTCTTAAGATTACAAATTGTGCGGCAATAGCCACATTATTTTTCCATATACTATGCCAAGCGACTAAGAAAATCAAAGATATGGTTCATATCAGCCTCAATAAATAACCAGAAGAATTTGCATCGCCCATTTTATATTTATATATTCAGGGTAGGCTTGTACATTTCAATAAGAATTTATTTTACCGAGAAATAAAAATAGCCGCTTTTATACAGCGAATTTAATAAGTATCTCACACTCCATTCGAATACCCTGCATATTTCTTCCATTTATGAACTTCACAATAAATTTCTTCAGGTCTCCCGATACTTAATGCCAAGAATTTATCAACAAATTATATACTTATATATTATATACAGAGATGCAAAAGTGATGGACAATTTATTTCTATGTGCATTTCCATGCCTATTTTCACTGGTTTTCTTGCTATTTCGTATTTTCTATCAAAATTCAATTCAATCAAACAAGTATGGTTTGTTACTTTGGGTATAAAAGAACTATCACGTTATTTTTTATAGAAAAGGCTATAGGGTGACTTAGCTAAGAGAAATGAAAAAAAAATTAATTCTGCGTTGAAAAATATTTTCTTATTCATTTTAGTTTTTCGAATTTATTGTAGTCGGTGCGAATTTGTTTGCATAAAATCCTAGGCAATGAGAGAAATTGAAATTATTAAAAGAGCTACTAAGTAGACGATTACCTTGAAATTGTCATTTCTACATATTGCAGACCACCAATAACCATTTTTTAATAAATCGATTTATCCTTTGAAAATTGCCCCAATCAGTTTTTAACACATTTTCTAGGGCAAAATATTTCCTCGAGTATTGTTACGTAATTTCAGATAAACTTATCACTCACCTCATCACTGTTAAATCTGTAATCTGTGTGTCTGGTAATTAAACCGAAGTAAAGTTATGAATATTATTTCAAAAATGGATACAAAAAAATTAGTTCTTTTTTACATATTTATATTTTCTGCTTTTTTGGTAATACAGATTTTATTTGATTCATAATAATAATAATCATCATCGATAAGATATTTATTTTCAATTCAATATTTTATATATTAAAATATTTTGAAGGTTACGATGTTGTCGCCTCTATACGAACATGACCGCGTTTTCTTGTTTCATCGAATCTGAGCCACAAAAGAAAAAGTATGGACTTTTACTGATTACTGTCTACCCTTTATTAAATAGAATCTTATAAATATTAGAAATACAATACTAAATTTTAGTTCCATTCTTTTTCATTTATTTCATATTTCGGAAATTAAATAAGACAATTGGCAATTAATATGACAATACTCTAGGGACTTTGACTGCAACTATCTAAATAATCTTCCAACGGCATAGTGGGAAGGAGGGACCGATTTTTACTTTCAACTCCCCCTTACATCCCCTGTCCATCCAACACTACTACACGAGCACAGACCCATGACATGCATCGACAACGAAAATTCATCAGCCACCTAACTGGCGGGTCTCTATGGAGGGGCGGCAGTGCTGATTATTATATTGAGTTCATTTTCTTCTAGATTCCGTGTCAGCGTACCCAAAGCACCCAAACAATCTGATTTTGATGAAGGGAATATCTTCTTATCACATATTATCTCCTATTGTCTACACGGTGATATTGAAAATCATTTTAATTCACTGTTAATATCCTGTATCGAGGAAATTGTTACTTTTACAGATTTTTGTTTAATGAATACTCTCTACTTATTAAACATTCATATGCCTTTTTAACACCTTGTTTTCCATCTAGTGACAAGTGATTTTCAAAACGCTCAGTAAAATAGTAATTCAAAGTAAATTTTTGACATTTTCAAATTTAAGTGTACCCCGCTTTGATCATATTGTTCTATACTAAGGCGATTCGAATTACCGCCTTTAAGTAATCGTAGGAACTATGCATTAGTTACATTTTTATATAATTTGGGTAGATCTCTGATAGGAGGCTCTAATTTGTTTTCGCCTACCGGGTTTTCTCGTTACTTCGAATGCAGTCGAAACATCTCCAATTTTCCACCCACCAACTCCCTCCACAAACTTTTTGGTTATAATTAAACTCTTTTCATCAATGGATATTTTTAATTGCATTTGTAGTGATATACATGTCAATTGCGGTTCAGGTAATTATTTTCAGCACTGTTTTTTTTGGTGCTGTTTTGTTTTTTTTATAAAGAAAAAATTTCTTTATATGGTTGTTCTTGAGAGTGTTGGTCTTTACTTTATTGGTACATATTCGGTATTTTTACTTTCATTTTTTGTTAATGTTAACATGGTAATTTTACCTACCCAATTAATTATTTTGTCAAATGGATATTAAATAAATAAATTAACAACATACAATGAATAAATTATTGG